AAGCATCGGCTAGCTCTTTTGTTGCTGGTTCTAAGGATGTGGGAAATAGAACACCTGTCAAACTTATCCTTGAGTTCAAGGACTTTTTCGAGATACACTCTTAGATGCTCCTCGGGAACAATGTAATCGCTACTGATTTGCTTAACAACCACCTGAGAGTCATTGAAAGTCTCCAGATTTCGGACCCCCAGTCTCAGAGTCATATTTAACCCCGTAATCATTGCTTCATACTCAGCTATATTGTTGGTTACCAAGAAGTCAAATCACAAGACGTAAGAGTATTCCGCCTCATATTCCTTTATCTCCTCGATGTCCTGTGGCTTAGTTGGCTTGGCTAGGATAATACTGGCTCCTCTTCCTTCCTCGCAAGACGAGCCATCAACGTAAAGAGTCCAAGCTCGAGGATATGTGAGAGTACGCTTTTGTGCTTACGTCTTTGAAGACGGTTCAAGCATGGTATCTGAAGTACGGGGTATTTCGACGAGGAAGTCTGCAAATGTCTGTCCTTTTATAGCCGTTCTAGGCTTATACTCAATATGATGTTCCCCCAACTCAACGGCCCACTTCATCATTCTACCGGAAGCTTCAGGCTTGAGGAGAACCTGTTGAATAGGCTGCTCGGTCAGGAATTGAATTGGATGAGCTTGGAAGTAGGAGCGCAACCGTCGAGCGGCTAGCACTAGGCTTAGTATCAGCTTTTCTATAGGGGTATATCGAGATTCTGCTCCTTGTAGGACCTTGCTCACAAAATAAATCGGGATTTCTTTCCCTTCTTTCTTCTGGATCAGGACTGCTGATATGGCTGTTTCTCGTGCAGCTAGTTAGATATATAGGACTTCTCCTGGCTCCGGCTTTGTCAACATAGGAAGTTGTTTGAGATGCTCTTTCAAATCTTGAAAGGCTTGCTGGCATTCCTCCGTCCACTCGAATTTCCTTCCTTTTCGTAGCATCTTGAAGAAAGGAAGGCTTCTTTCAGTGGCTCCAGAAAGGAACCTATTTAATGCTGCCAGGAACCGGTAAGTTTTTGGACTTCCTTGACCGTCTTTGGGGCTTCCATGGAGAGGATTGCCTCAACTTTCGTGGGATCTACACTTATGCCATCCTTGGAAACTTGAAATTTGAAAAATTTCCCGGAGCCGACGCAGAAAGCACATTTTTTGGATTAAGATTCATGTTAATATTATGGAGAATCGTGAAGATTTCTCGCATGTCGCCTACTATCTTTTCATCGAGATTACTCTTGATGACCATGTCGTCCACATAGATTTTGACGTTCCGCCCAATTTGGTCATGGAAGGCTCTGGTAGCTCCGGCATTCTTTAATCCAAAGGGTATTTTATCGTAGCAATATAATCCAATCTCAGTGATGTAGGCCGTTTTTTCAGCATCTTCTTGGGCCATAAGAATCTGGTGGTACCCCTTGTAGGTATCGAGGAAGCTGAGAGTTCTAAACCCAGTAATCCCCTCGACCATTTGATCGATGACCAGTAAAGGGTAGCAATCCTTGGGGCAATGCTTGTTGAGATCAGTGTAGTCTTGACACATGCGCTAAGAGTTATCTGGTTTTCGGACAAGGACCGGGTTGGCCAACCATGTTGGCCAGAGAACTTCTCGGAGGATATTGGCACGAACTAGATTGAGCGTTTCCTCGTTGATGATTTCATTTGCGGTCTCGAGCAAAGATTCTCCTCTTCTGTTGTATTGGCTCAACGTTGGGATCCACATTTAGCTTGTGCTCAATAATTTGTGTTGGGACCCCGGTCATATCAAAGGGAGCCCATGCAAATATATCTCGGAACTCGCGTAGCAAGGCGACTACCTCGGCTCGCAAAGTTTTGCTTATAGACATTTCCAGTTGGATTGTCTTTTCTGGTTCCTTCTCATCCAAAATTAATTCCTCTATTTTGCTGCTGAGTGGCGGTTGATTCGGGCGGTTGAGATCCATGGGTTGTGCTTCCCTTACGTCTTTGACTGATGGCATCCTTTGCTGGACTAAGTAACATCCCGATGTGGCGGTGGTGACTCCAGATTTCACTTTTTTTTCCCTGTTTTCACTGCCGTGAGGAGGCAATCTTGAGAACTGTATTGTCATCCTTGCACTATCCCTATCCCATACTCAGTTGGGAATTTCATGACCAAGTGGTAAGGGGACCAAATAGTGCGAGCTTGGCATATCCATGACCGTCCTAAAATCACGTTAAACGGTGAGGGTGCATCAATTATGGCGAAATCTATGATTAAGGTTACCATTCGAGGATGTGACCCTACCATGATTGGAAGACTTACGATTCTGCTGGAGATAATCGTGTGCCCAGAGAAGCCCATTAGTGGTAACGTTACCGGACGCCAATCAGGATTTTGTATGTTCATCTTCTTGAAACAGTCGCTATAGATGATGTCGATTGCACTGCCGTTATCAACGTACACTCGGCTCACGCAAATGTTTCCTATAATGGCTTCAATAACCATGGCGTCGCTGTGTGGACAGATGCCTGGAACTACGTCACTATCCGTAAAGACTATTGCCTCGGTTCCCTTGAACCGTTTATGGCTAGGCTCTTTTGGAGGCATTTTGGTTACTTCTCGAACTAACGCCTTCATAGCTATTGTAGAAAGAACCTCGAGTGATGCACCGTAGATTACCCCCACGTTGTGAGTAATTTGCTTAGCAGGATCAGGTGGAGGGACTTGTTGAAGTGGCTGAGGACCGCCATCGAGGGGTTGCTGAGCAGATTGCTGCACATTGTTCCTTGGTGTCCAGTTATTCCCTCGGGTATCCACTCGAGGGCCGCGTGAAGTTACGGGGTCCCGCAAACTTTTCTCCCTTTTGTCGAGGAGCATTCTACACATATTGTTGGAATTTTCCCGATTTCACCTCGGCTTCGATTTCACGCTTGAGTTTCCCACAATCTTCAGTGTCGTGGCCGTGGTACTTATGATATTCACATTATTGATCCGTGGACCTATTTGGATTGTGAGCCAGGAGTTTTTGAATAGGGAACTCATCCTTGTGGATTTGGAGTATTTCTCGCCGGGGCTTCAGTAATGGAGTCAGCTATCTATCGAGCTTAGGCAAAGCCGGTGAATGGGTCGGTCCAAGACAGGTGGTGGATATGGACTCGTCAACAAATTAATTCTAAACAGACATGGCTATGTTTTTTAGATGCCTAGCTGATTTGGTTTAGATTAATATCGATGTTCGTTTTTCCAATCAAGAATAAATCCCCCATTAAAGTCAAAGAGTCTCACATTCTCTCTCCCCCAAGAAATCTTGAAAGAAACTGTGCTAAGAGTATCAGAGATATTTGGGTAAGTTTTAAATGTAAGTTGATACTTTTTCCCAAGATGATCATTCTAAAATTGTACAGTACCTAAAAAGAAAACAACATAAATAATTTCCATAAATGTTATGAGGTTTTCTTTTCTCTCCATTAATTGATGAGATCCACATGAGTCAAACTGTGGATCACATATGTCCGTCGATATTTAGATAACCACTTGGATAACTTTAAATTGAATAATTGTACAGTACCTAAAAAGAAAACAACATAAATAATTTCCATAAATGTTATGAGGTTTTCTTTTCTCTCCATTAATTGATGAGATCTACATGAGTCAAACTGTGGATCACATATATCCTTCGATATTTAGATAACCACTTGGATAACTTTAAATTGAATAATTTCAATGTAAAAAATACACCCCCGTCTCATAATTATTGTCCAATTTAAGTTTTCATTTCTAGTTCAAATTGTATTAAAAATAATATCTCAAACTGAATAATAATTTTGAGACAGATGGAGTTCTTAACTTAAATCATTCGAAACATCAATATGAACTCTCTTAACTGTGTATAAATTTCTTATAGCATTAGATTTCCGAATTATATCGACAATTGCTTGATATATATATATATATATAGAGAGAGAGAGAGAGAGAGAGAGAGAGAGAGAGAGAGAGAGAGAGAGAGAGAGAGAGAGAGAGAGAGAGAGAGAGAGAGAGAGAGAGAGAGAGAGAGAGAGAGAGAGAGAGAGAGAGAGAGAGAGAGAGAGAGAGAGAGAGAGAGAGAGAGAGAGAGAGAGAGAGAGAGAGAGAGAGAGAGAGAGAGAGAGAGAGAGAGAGAGAGAGAGAGAGAGAGAGAGAGAGAGAGAGAGAGAGAGAGAGAGAGAGAGAGAGAGAGAGAGAGAGAGAGAGAGAGAGAGAGAGAGAGAGAGAGAGAGAGAGAGAGAGAGAGAGAGCACATTTGGTGTGCTTCGGTGTCTTTCAATTAATCAAAAGCTCACACTCCCATTCCTTCCATGAACGTTCATGGGAACAAACTTCTAATTTCCATGGAAAGCAAATATCCGAGACTTGGTCCATTCCAATATTCAACTTCGGATGTTTGGTGTCCGGGTTGAATGATTGCGGGCCTTTGATCCAGCATATTTTAGATTGATACCGATGCACCTAAGAATATTTTAAAAAAACAATAGATATTACATACATCACAATCAACGCTAAGTATTTTATTAAAATTTTGGATTGTATTTACTTTAGTCGGGCTATCAAAAGTCCACGACCAAGTAAACAATGGGGTGGACTATATAGCGGTTGTTTGAGGGGAATGAGATAGTATAATAGTTGTAAGAACATAACCCAAGCGCGAAAGAGCGAAAATGAGCCATCGGATCAGGTCAGCGGAGGCTCACCACTCAGTAATTCTGTTGTTCTCAAACTATTATCCAGTTTAAATTTTATTTTTAATCTAAATTGAAATAAAAGCAAAAATTTAAATTAAATAATAATTTTAGGATAGATGAGTAGCAACCACGAGAACAAGAAAGACGGAGTTTGCAAACTTGGAATTTCCCACATATTTTGTGGACAAAATTGGTGACGTCGCAGTTTTGTTTTTTTTTGGTGTAGGCATCTCTTCACTCAAAACTAAATAAAATGAAAATAATAGAATGAAGATAATTGTACCGCTAACATGATTCATAGAATGATGCACATACATCCTTTAGCATATGTCATGACACTGATTTAATAGGGGAAAAAAAAAATCAAAATCGCATGACTCAGTTCGCAATGTTATAAAAATAGAAGACTTTTTGTTGATGATGACCAGTTGCTCATTTTGTTCAGTATCCAACGGTTAATTACTGATTTAACTGTATGATTCAGTTAAAAAAGTCGCTCTCTATTATCAATGCCAAATGTCCAGAACAGCATAGTAGCCTATCAGCAAAGGTAGGGCTACTACTGTGCCTAAAAGGATCCTGCAAGGGCAATGAGTTAGCATACATATGTGCGTAATCAGTGTAGTTAATTACCAAACCAAAATTAAACTACTAATAATTTTAAATGAATTGGGTTGGCTAAATTTGAAGATAAGACTTAAGAAAACTTACGCTGTGCTAATTACTTGAGCATGTAATCCATATTCTTGAGCATAAACAAATGATCCTACGGATTGTGGCAGTGCTGCCTATAACCAAAAAAAGAAAGGAAAAAGATAATCTATCTGTCTCAGAAAATAGTCTGTTCTGTTGTACCGTTTTAGATCAACAAAATAAATTACTTCCTGTTGTTCTTGTTATAAGGTATTTTGATTTGTTATAAGTCTCATTTAATATATTCTTCTAACTAAAATAAAGCCTTAAAAATATTTTATAATAATTAAGATAACATAATAAATGTGAAAATAATAATAATAATAATTAAACAAGGAGTATTTTTTCAAGATGGAAGAAGTACACAATAATAATAATAATAATAATAATTTATAAGACGACCCTTTTCACCCAGAAGTACAGGCAAATACTGCAATGATAGTAATCAAACTTACAAGGAAGTTATATATTAAAATAAAAAAATCAAACTGTGTCATATATGTTCATATAACTAATGAGATTTTTTTTTTTTTTTTTAAAAAAAACATGCATCTATATCGAAACGTATATGCAGTGGTTGTTGGGATTCTTTCTGGCTAAATATCCCTTTTACCCTATTAAAACAGAATACATGATGTTGATGTGGCAACTTCTTATTAAAAATTTTTGGCTCTAAATGCACCATATTGCATTAACCATTCTGCCACATGTCATCCCTTTTTAAAAGAAAAAAAAAATTCTTATCCGGAAAAATAAAAGCTACTTTACAAAAATAGCTACACAATTTTAACTCCTAACATTTATCATTTATCAATCAAATTAAAATAGTATTTAAATTTGTCCATAAACTTATCACCTTTATTACTCCATATTCTTTTGTACGATTTCTGAATCGTTGTACTTTTTAATATTTTTTCTCCTTTGATAGATGATTTTTTATTTTTATAATTATTTTTTGCTAAAAAAGGAAAAAAAAACCAAAAGTGTAGCTATTTTATTTTTTCCAAATCAAGAATTCATTTATCTATTGACATAAAATTAAAGTAGAGGGGCATCCGGGCATCTGCCTGGGCCAAGCATCTAGTATATGTTAAATATCAAAATACATTCTAAGATAAACACTCCGCCGGTTCTTCAGGAAAGAGTCAAGGCAAGGATCATACTTCAAAATAAATATAAAGAAGGCACCCTATTATACTTTTTTGTTGCCCTTTTTCAAATTTCAACTTGAATTAATTTAAGACAAAATTTAACATACACGCATCGAATCTATATATATATATATATATATATATATATATATATATATATATTCGGTTGTTATTCAATAATATAGTTAGTTGACTTTCGGTCTCATCCAATTTAGATTCCATTTCTACTGTTGAGTAAAATATTTGTGCAACAATTTGTTTGCTTGCATAAAAGTAAACCACTTTGCTCCAAAAAAAAAAAAAAGAATAGTCATGTAAATATTAAAACTTAATTTTGACTTTTTTTTTTTTGGACAGAAAGAGTACTAATTATAAAATGAAACTGTAGTTTTTAGATGAGATGAGATGAGATGAAAATGAATAGTGACCTGAATGACGACGATGCGTAGGACATCCCCATGCAAACCGGTGGCCAAAGCACCGATGGCTGCGATTGCCGGTCCAATGACAAACCTCATAACCATGGTGTATGAAGCTACGCCCACACCACAAGCAATAACTTTCTCTTGCAATGCCATGAAAAGCCCTGTTTCATTTAATGAAAAGAAGGAAAAAGGGAAAACCATCAGAACAAGAAACTAATGCATGGTTAAACATATAATAACACATCATTTTGATGAATTAAAACAGTGTCATAAAATAAAGTAGGACTAAATTAGAGAGGAGTGTCCTCAATTAGTTCTTTCTTACCCAGGCTAAACATAGCCAACCCAACTCCTCCACTCGACATTATCAAAATTGATCCCTCAATGATCTTCGGCATCCCAATATGCCACCTAATTAAACGAGGAGAATCAATTCATTTCGAGCGGAAAATTTCCATTTGAAAAAAAAAAAAAAGAATTCCTTACTTGCTCTTTTCTTAAATAACTGTCCAATTTAAATTTTTACTTTAGTATAAATTACATTAAAAGTGAAAAATCAGACAATCATTTAAAGACAGTGGAACATATATGTAACAACGAAAGCCTATACCTTTTGGCAATAAGAGCCCAAATGAGTCCAATAACGGTAGAAAGAACATTAGGGTTCTTAGCAAGCTTGAAACAGACGATCTTCATTACCTTCCAAAATGCAAGTGGTTTGCTCGGCCCGTCTACGGTCGCGGCCGTGATCATGGTCGGAATATCCTCAATATCTCGAGTTGCGATATCCGCCACCTGAGCGGTAGTCGTTGTCCGGGTTGACTTTTCATATTCATATGCAACCGACTTAGCGAGCCTCAATTCTAATAAAATCATCAAAATGATGAACCATATTAGGAACTGTAGGATGGTTGACTGAATAACAAGGTCTTTGCCTTCAACTCCATACATGGCTTCCAACAAGGGAACACCGAAAAGGAGCGTGTTACTCAAACTCGACAGTGAAAAAGTCGTGATGGACCAATCAAAGCTCCCTTTCTTGTTCAGGTTAGCCCACAAAACAAGAACTGCTCCGGCGATGGATTTGGCGATGACATCGGCCGCGAGGAACCGGAGATTCATCTTGTAAGGGTCGATGCTACTGATGAATTCGAAGATGAAAAATGGGATGACTAAATAGCATATGAACCGGTTTATGGCATCGCATTGATCAGGTTTGAACATTTTGCACCATTTTACGGAGGCGTATCCTAAGAAAATCGCCGTGTACAGCGGCAACATGGCGATCACCACCTTGTATACATCTTCTCCGGCGATCATGATTGATTTCACAATGAAAATATTTGGTGGAAGACGAAATTATTTGGGGTTGGTTTCTTCTTTCGGTTCGTTGATACATGTGTTTTTGAAACAAAAGTATACTATTATTCAGCAAATATATTTTTTAGCACAAATTATTTTTTAAAAAAAGATTTATTACAGAAAAGGTGGCCTAAACCTGTTGACTTCGTAATTTGGCTGCATGCTAAAAGGCTGAGTTGTTATTGTGATTGTTTTTTTATACTTCATCTGTCCTAAATGATTAAACTAAAAATAAAAATCTAAATTAGACAATCATTTTAGAATAAATAAAGTTATAAATTTTAATCATAGAATAACTCAAGTTGTACATGGAGCAAGCCACCGCTACCAACTTGCTTGAACGGTTGAACCTTGGCTTCCAATAATGTCGCAGTACATGCTTGGCCAGCACACTCCAATCAAGCCCATGCAAATCCCAGATGCAGCGATATTTCTCGCACTTATTAGAAATGAATCAAAATTGAGAATTGACTTATTATTATTATTATTATTATTATTATTATTATTATTTTTGGGGAACACTAATTAGCAATGGAGAACGAGACCCACTAGGAAAATTGTGTTTTGTTATTTCGTTACTAATTTTTGGTTATACTATTAAACATGGGATAGTTCGAAGTGATCACTTACCGCAAATAATTTAATTAAAAAAAAGTTACAAAAATTAAGCCAAATCATGGAATTTGGATTTTAAGGAAATAATATACATTACTAAACTCAATGGTATCTTTTGTTAAAATTTTGGACTACTTCTACTTTAGCGGGGTTATCAAAAGTCAATGACTAAGTAAAAAATGGAGTGGACTATACAATGTCCGGTCTGCGTATTTTGACAATGGGTATGAAATGTCAAAACAATACCATAGTATCATAAAAAATACAAGATGTGGTTGTATGGAATGTCAAAACAATAACTTACCGTATATCTGGTTGTACCATTTCCAAATTCCAACTCATACGACTAACCATAACAACTGTGCGGTTTTGTTTTGTTTGGTTTTTTCATTTAGTACAAATTCTGTGGGAGGTATTGGATTGCAAACTAAATTGTGGGTAAAAATGGGGGTACAGAAGGTCTGAAGCAGCGATGAAGTGTGAAGGATTATACGTTTCCTAATAGCATGATATTGAGGAAAATTTCCATTCGAGGGAATTCTTTAGCAAGATACTCAGGAGAGCTACTTTAGATAAGAAGAAAATGAAAACTAAAATAGGATATCGGCTTTCTGAAACAAAGAAACATAAACTCATGGAGTGCATCTTGAAGAAGAAAGCGGGAGGGGCGGGGAGGGTAAGAACTGAACTGATGGTAAAAGGAGCCGCTTTGTACCACAATGACATGTACACATCACTTCAATATATATATATATATATAGTAAAATAAAGATGACTCCGTCCTACATATATATATATATATATATATATGTAGGACGGAGTCATCTTTATTTTACTATAAAGTTAATTAGTTACAAACATGACTAAAATTATTCTAATTTGAGTCGTTTTTATTGTTTCTAGGCAACAATAATATGTTCTTTTTTCCAATAAAGAAATGAATCCCCCGTCGCAGTCAAAGAGTCACATTCTTCACACCGAATAAATTTTAAAAGGAACTTGTCGTATAGAATCAGTCAACCAGAGAGAGGGTAAAATAAGGCTTTTTAGTAAGATATGTGCGAGTTAAACAATGTCATATGATATGTGTGGTAGACTTCATCTGTCTCGACATGATTGTTCTGTTTCGTTAAATTTTTTTTATAAACATAAAAAATTTTAATAGAAAATTAATAATTTTTCGGGGACGAAGTAAATATGAAACCTTGTGAGGTTTTCTTTTTCTCCGTTAATCAATGAGATACTGAAGCTCCATAATTCCATCATAACATAGGCAAACTGTGCATCACACTTTATTTATACAGAGGGTAGAAACTATGGCTATATATGCCTAATTAAGTTGCATGTATTGAACCCGAAAAAAATACAAAATAAAAACCCTTCTTGCTGCAAAAATGTTAAAGAAACAGTGCGCTTATATAGCTGAAACGAAACCGAAAATTATGCTCAAGATGAATCAATCTCTAAACAACAATATGAATTCTTTGAACTTTTACAATTCCTTAGAGCATTATATAGAATTTCCAAATTATATGGACAACAACGTAACATCGCTGACTTCATCTCCAAAGAAGTTGATCCCATATCCCTGAATTTCCAAGCCAATTTGAGATGCTTGGTTTTCCGGGTTGAATGATGGTTGTGCGAAATGTTCCAGTACCGTGTCAGCGGCTGGTTGGACACAGTAATAACTTTTAGCTAGGAACTCAAGGGAGCTTATATAACCCTAACATCTGATAAGGGGTTTTACAGAACACTCGAAATCAATGAATCTTGGAACACCTGACCTGAACATCATAGCTTTTGTTTTTTTTTTTCAATTCCGATTGATCGAGCCGATCGGACTTCGATGCCGGCATTTTTAATCTGGAAGGAAGGTAAGGAAGGATGAGGCTGGGGTGTTGGTGTCGCCGTGTCGGTGGTTCGGCAAAGAATGATGAGGACACCTAAAAGAAGGATCTGAAGTTGGGAGCTGATCGAGGAAGATAAAGAAGAGGTTAGGGTCGCGGTAAGCATTTTATGTATCTATATATATATGAAGGTTAATTTGGTAACCCGGAAACACAATATATGTAACATTGACCAAACTGATGAGTGCTACACTCAGTAACTTGATTATTTGAAACATGAAGTACTAAAACTTCAATTGGCAAAATGTGTAAGGTGTCATCGTGTTTGTGTATGCCACTGTAGTTGTGAACTTGTAATCTTCTTTTTACTGAAGAAGTATCACATCTAAGAGATGTTTCGTTTCTTCAATAAATAAACCTTTTTTTTCTTTCTTTCTTTCTTCCTTTTTGTTTTTTTTTTGGGGAAAAAAAAAGGATTTCTTGCCCCAAAGGAAAAATAAAAAATTACAAAAGATAGTACATATTTAATAGTGGAATTTTGACCAACAAATCACACGTTGCATGATTTTTCAACCTTAATTTTCTTTGCGTCCGTCTGGCAAAGACCCAAGACACGTAACTAATGACTGTGGGTGTCTCTAAACTTACAATTGAGAATTTAAAATTCAATATGTATACCATTTTAATTTCTCAATTAACCATATGAATTTTTTTAACAAGGATACGATAGACCGGGCTCGTGCTCACTGATTACTGAACTTGTTCAGAATTAATTTGCCCGAGAAGTTGAAGATAACAAGGATATTGATATGTGGATTTGGTTCAGACATAAAGCGAAAAAAGTAGGTCGGAGTTCAGTTCAAGTAGCAGTCTCAACACGCAAATGGGCAATGAGGGGGAGTTTTTCTAGTGATATTTGTAAATGTTTTAGCTCATCCACACGCTCAAAAAAGCCGAAACCAAAACTCAGCACGTTTTTTAATATGATTATTATATACACTCGTCTCAATTATAATAGTAGTTAAGTTTGTTGTGTTAAAACAGAAAAATCACACTCGAAAAGGGATAAAATAATTCCTTTATTCCACCTAAATAATTCACATTGTAAATTGTGAACGTACATTAAGCATTACAATTCATATTAACAATAGTAATAGCTTGGAGAAGGATAGTCCACTCTATGTTTAGGGTGGATACTTCCCTTTTGCATTATATATAATTCATATTAACAATAGTAATAGTTTGGAGTAGGACAGTGCACTCTATGGTTAGGGTGAATACTTCCATTTTGCATTGCAACTGGTTTAAGCAATTATAGAAGTTAGGATACAATTTACAGTTTATCATGTGAATTATTATTTTGGGACGGAAAAAATATTCTTTTACAATTCTTTTGCATCACTTTTGCTTTTCTCAATTGTAATATCATGATGCACCAATCCCATCACCCATCCTAATTATAGGATATCACCATGGATACTTCTATCCTAAAGGACAGGGAGGATTAATGTGAATTATTTTTGAATGTGAATGAAGGAGGCGTAAAATCTATAACATCAAATAAACACAATGTGCGAACACTACTCTGTATTCTTGGTCTACTGTTTGGCTTCAAGAAAAATTGACTGTTCTAGAAGAGTCGCTTTTTTAGTTTTTCTTTTTTATTGGACACAAGAAGGGGCAATTCGACTGACCGCGATTGAGTTGATGATGTATCTTGAAGACTCTCCCTAATTACCACGGATCTGGTTGTGTTCTTTCCAACTCATTCGACAAAGCCCCTTACAAACTATTTGTTTGCCCGTAACATGCGTGCGTAGATCGAGTTCAGCTCTCCCAAAATTATTGTTCGGTTTGAATTTTTATTTTTTAGTATTACAAAGACAATGAACTGTAAAATTGAATAACTAACACCTTTTGTTTTGATAAATTGATTATATATATTCGTACGTTCTAGATAAGAACTTCGACAAACTAGATACTTGGAAAATACAGTTGCGGGATAGACAGGAATATAAAATATTACAATCATATTTATCAATCTACAACTTCCATGACCGGCGGCGGATGGAAATCGCCAATTCGCCAAAATCCACTCATTGAAAGAGTTCACCGTCAAGTATTCGGTCTAGGGACACTCAAATGAAAACTCGATCCACCTCCGAGCAAGACAATTGTTTTGGCAAGGAACTCAAGAGAGCTTAAATATGAACATAGTATCATTAGTTGTTGAGACAAGAAATTTACCATCGGTATATATCGTGAAGGATCTCAAGTAATTTTGTGTCATGTGCATACCTAAACCCTAAAATCGGATTTTGGTGCTTAATTTCTGGAACAAGGACAAAAATTGAGTGTTATCTTTTGTTGCTAGACACGATAATGGTAAAGAAAATGGTGAAGAAAGGATGAAGCAGGTAATTAAGAGGAGATAACATGATGTTATATAGGAATTTGAAATGGGAATTCGTCTTTTAGCCCAATAACAGGTAGATGAATTAAAAACCACCCGGCTAAAGACTATAAAGACTACTCATCGCTACAAATAAAGTAAGACTAGTTTAGATATTAGTCCTGGTCAAGCTAGCCTCGATAATTGTTTTGTTCAAAATGTCATGAGCATTTTATTAGCCAACGAGACATAACAGAGATATCGTGTAACTTGTGTGCAGTTTTTTTCGAAGTCACACAAAAAAGGAGAGCTTATTACTACCTCCGTTCACTTTTATCAGTCGCTTTATGGTTTGCACAAATATTAAAAAAATAATGATTGATAATTGCATTTTTAAGTATAATACCTTTCTTGCCCTTAATTAAAGGTATTGAGACTCTAAAAAAAATTTGAATTTGGAGTAAAAGAATATGTTATTGTCATTAATATATATTATTAAAATTATAGAGAGATAAAGATGAAATTGAAAAAATAATATTTAATGCTACATTAAAAATAAAGTGCGATAGATAAAAAATAATTTTGGATTTACCCTAAAGGGACAGTTCAAATGAATGGAGGTAGTATTAAGGGTTGACAAAGAAGCAAATTACGCAGAAATACAGCTGTGTGTGTGTGTGTGTGTTTTTTTTTTTTTTTTATTGGTACTACTGTGGTTAAGAACGACGATGAATCAAAATTATTCATAAAAAATTACCGGTTGTATATCATTTGTGGATTATGGTACATGTTGTACGTGGAACCACAACATAGAGTAGTTTTATGAAATGGGTAATAAATCTGGAGCAAAAGAGACTTCTAGTTTTCATTGTTATTCATATTCTAATTGATTTCTCCCAACCTAATAAGAGGTTTCTGTTCGGTTACATCCTCCACATCAGATTGTTGTTGTGTACTTATGTTTATCTATCCTATCACAAATTGTTACCCTCTTGAATATATGGTACATAAATTCTGATTGTTCACTTATTGTAAATAGTAATGGCTCAGATTCAGTTATATACTCTCTCCGTCCTATATTTATTGTCCACTTTGTTCAAAAAATTTTGTCCCAAAATTATTGTCCAATTTAACTTTTTATGGATCAAGTTACACATTTGTCCTTAGTAAAAAACATTATCCATAAAATCTTAGTGGTTAAACAATTACTTATGTAGGGGTATATCCGGTTGTTTAAGATAAAATATAATTAAGTTTGACAAAAAATAAAATATTTCATTTTAGTAAAACTGGATAATAATTATGGGACGGAGGGAGTATATTTTTAGCAAGTTTTGAAAGTATCGGATGAACCTAAGACTAATTGATGAGAGATAATAGAGACCTTGAATTTTCTCATAGACCCCCTAAAATTTCTCTCATCCCTTGAAAATATGGTTTTATTTAAAATCTAAATAACGACCTTCAGTCGTGACCAAGTCCAATTGGGTAATTGTTCCTGACGGGAATTTGTTTCTGTTTCTCTCTTTTCCACTTTGCTTTTGTTGCTCATCCTTATGTGAATTAAGCTCATTTCTCACATTCAAGAGTGACAAATATAAAAAATGGTAAGCTCTTATATATCCTGCTCGTGCTTGATACTCCTGTATTTTTTTTACACCTTATAAGATCCATATATACATTTTGGATTGATAATTAAATGTCCGAAAGGAGTACAATGCATACATTATGTATTTGAATGATGAAAGAAAGGAAAATACAATGCATGAGAAATGACCAATCTTCTCTGAAAATTAAGAGCCCGCATTTGCCTATATATCTTGTAGGGATTGTGGATGTTATCGGCGGGTAATTATTACGTCAATGAAATTGGCAAAATGTTTATTTTCATGATGATTTGTTTGAGCCCTTTTGGGATTGATGTTTGAAAGAGGGTGTGTTTTGTAGGGAGAATTTCTGAATTCTGTTTCTGTTGGAATGGTTTTGGTCATTAGCTCAAGCTGATGAGTTAAGCCAATTTCTTTTTTCTCTTTTCTAATCTATTTTGGGAAATTCAGGCAAACTCATCATCTGGGGTGGCTGTGAATGATGAATGCAAGCTCAAATTTCTGGAGCTGAAAGCAAAGAGGAACTTCAGGTACATTGTGTTCAAAATTGATGGCCAAAACAACCAAGTGGCGGTGGAGAAGCTGGGGAGTCATGATGAAACCTACGAAAATTTCGCAGACAGCTTGCCTGCCAATGAGTGCCGATATGCTGTTTTCGATTATGATTTCACAACCGATGAGAACTGCCACAAAAGCAAGATTTACTTCATCGCATGGTACCTTGTGGATCAAATTTACAATGTGTTTGATTTATTGATTTCCAACTCCTTGATTGGTTTTGGTAAATCAAATGTTGAAGGACTGTGGTTTTTCTGTTTCTTATAATTTGTTCAAGTTATGTAACATACAGTTGATCAGGAATTGAATGATATTAACATTCATTTGCAAATTCATTTAGGTCCCCTGAGACAGCCAGGGTGAGAGCTAAGATGCTCTATGCAAGCTCCAAAGACAGATTCAAGAGGGAATTAGACGGTATTCAGGTGGAGTTGCAAGCAACTGATCCAAGCGAGATGAGCCTGGATACCATCAAATCGCGCGCCCTGTAAACTCACACAATCTTCTCAGCCACGCCTTCGGTTATTTTCTTGTGGCTGTTTCAGATATTAGTTAGATGATTTGTTGGATCAGGTGTAAGAATACTTCAGGCCTTTTGTCCCATAATTGCGGCAGTGTTGCAGATTTTGGCTTTGGCCAGACTTCCTCTGAAGATTTTCAGTACTATAGAGTTAGAGAAACGAGATTGTAAACCATGCTGTGGGAAATCGTTGCTTTTTTTACAAGATCGATGCAGATTGTTCCGTTGTCATGACATTCAACTTGATTTATGAAATAAGAAATTCACAACTTTGTTATCAAAAGAATTTTGTATTGACTCTGAATCCAGCAAATTCTCACTATTGAAGGTTGTTCTGTTTATTTCTATTATAAAACAAAAGCTGATTTCTGGTGCATCAGCTCTGCATTGTTAAATGTTGCAGCATTTGATGAACTTGCAGAACTAAAGTGCTGATTAAATTTCCTATAATTCTCAAAATTGGAAAATTACACTACTGATGTTAGTATACACTGAGGTCTGAGGCTAGTAAAAATACTTTCTTGTTGAAATATCACTCTCTTCCCATTGTTCAATTTTCTTTGTCAGATTACTTTTCCTCCTAACAAAAGCTTCAAGTGTTCGATGATCATATGGATGTTGCAGATTGCAAGGGCCTGAATCTGAAGGACTGTCAACCTTGGAAGAAAGCCTAAACTTTTTCCTTAACCCTTTTGTGTTGCAAATAAATGTATCCGAACACACTTCCACGGCCCCTTTAGGCACAGTTGGCTGGTACTTCAAGAGCTTTGCATATTGGTACAAGACATGAAACATGTAGTCGTAAACATATTTCATTTTTAGCTGTTCTTGAACAAATTTGCTCCCGGCTTTTCCAATCTCTCTCACCTGTTTATCAGCCACTGATTAGTTAAATTATCAGATGATTCAGACTAGCACTTCTTTTGGTTAAACTCATCTAGGTTACCTGATCAGTGTGCTTGTTGCCAAATTTTACCGCGAAGTTGATAGAATTACAGAGGTCATTCTCACTTATCGGCCAGTAATGAATCGCCGGTAGCAAACCCCTACTATAGAAATCATAGTAGTGTGGACTTATGATCAGAGTCATGGAATCACATGCTAGAATATACTTTTGACTAACAGACCATGCATGCCCTTCGGAGTAAATTTTATACCTGCAGAGATATGTTCATAAAAAGAGTGAACATTAAGCAAAGATCATTATGGCCATGATTTGCAAATTGAACTAGTACCTGTGAGTGCATTGGGTAGTTAAATCTGTAGTTTTGAAGCCACCTTTACGCTCGCGCTGCCAGTCCTGCGATTATCATGAAATTAACAAAGCCTCTATTGTTTCCTATCTCTTGTATCCTATCCTAACAAACACCACTGCTAGAATCTAGATATGATTTTGATCAATCAATTCTCATTGATGTCTTACAGTATACATGGTCTTGAATATCATCAGCATGATAACATCAAAAGCAGAGTTTACCAGATCAAAGATTCGGATGTTCCATTCACCATTTGTCGAAGAGTTGCATCCCACGAGATCATGTCTAACTTTGCTCAACTTTGTGTTACCTTTCCAAAAGGCATAAGGCTCTCTGTCCATCCATTTAAGCTTTTCATTGCTTTCTTTAATCTCACTCTTCAGGATCTCCCAAGGCTTTATCTTGATTTCAGTCCTGCAAAAAAAATGCAAGTCAATCTCAAACATACATCATAATGGTTCCATGATTACTTTTTCGAGCAATGTTCATAATGCTAAAAGTAGGATAAAAATGTTTACCAACCCCAGAAGGACCAGTCAGGAAAGACAATATCAAAAGTCTCATCATCACCACAGTAATGAAACACCGGTGGTGGAACCAAGGCCTCATTTCCTGCATAATCCTGTTTCTTGACGACCGGCTTGTCATCACATTCGAACATTAGATCCAAATCCGGTAACTTACCAGGATACAACTTAAGAAGCTGCAAAATTCCCCAAATCGTGACAACATCTCTCGTCTGGAAAGCGCGCTTGTATTTCTCCACATATAATCTACCACTAACTATAACCACTCTTATGTGTGCAACATCTTTACCTCTTTCTACCATTTCCCTTGAAATTCCAGTCTCTTTCCACGGGCTTAAGTCTTCATGGATCCATCGAAAGTACTCTGGACACGCCTCCTCAGTTGCTGAAGTTGCATTATTCTGCGCCGCAGCTAGTTTCTCAAAACAGCTCATCAAACATGTAGGTTTTGCAATAAAGGTCTTGTATGTTTCGGAGGATTCAAATTCTCTTGGGATCAAACCTGCATTACTGGACTGAAAAAGGACCATTAGCTAGTACTCAATAGTAAACAGAAAAGGAGCAGGACTAATGAGACGGTTCTGCCAAGTTATCAACTTACTACATTGATCCATCGCGTCGCGATAGCAGAGAAAACCAGAATGGTGAGGAAGACAATGACAATGCTTTGGATCCCCTTTCTCCTCCGTCGATCAATCATTCTTAATATCACATTAGTCATAAGACTGAATCCATGTAACAACAGAAAAGGAAAAACAAGGAAAAATCCCTTAGCTTGAACACACAATAATTAGCTGTTGACTAAGTCGGAAGCAGATCTTTTAGGAAAAAAACATCCATTTACATCATCCTCTTCTTCTGTTTCAGAACCTGCGTAACATCTAACATTTGAATATTGCAATTTAATCTTTTATTATATGATCATAGCTGCTGAATTTTTAATTTCTGCCACCAAAGTTCTAATACTTCTCAAGTGACTTATCACCTACAATTTGTCTTTTAAGTTGCAAATACGAATCGTGGCATCATAATTCTCTTTCTTTTTTTGGGCGCAAACGACAGACTTGATTGGGGAGTTTTACTACAAAGTCAATGTGCTTCAATCCGAATAACCATATTTGCCCTGTTCTTTAGGGAATGAATGGCTAATAACGCACAGGAATCAGTAGAATTGGCAGTTCTTACAAGACTGAATTACACTTGCATTAGTCAAAACCCTACTATTTTGCAAAGAGAAATGTTTGGGGCCCAAAAGAGATTGCATTTTTTTTGGTGACCTTTTTTTTTTTTTTGGTGACCTTAATTAGCTGTTAGTTATGGCTTATTGGGCTAAAATAACACGGTCATGTCTTGGACTATTTATGGCAAGATCTATGCAAAGGCGTTACAAAAGTTGTCTGTCAAATTACTCAAAAATGGTCTAATAAGCAAGTTTCTTTTAAATTTTGTTTTTCTATAGTTCTTGAAAATGATGAAAAAACTGATTAGTTAATAACTTTGGTTAAGGGTTTATGAAGTTCAAACATCCCGAATGCATTGCTCATTCTCAAATTCTCCATAAATTGCTACAATCGAGTTGGTTTTACCTTTGCCATGTGACATGAGAGCATCAAAATTAAAAGAACAATTACCACATCATCATTAATCACTAATTTTCCCTTTAACTACGTGCAAAACACAAATGAGCAATTATCAAGCGTGTTAGGGGTATCAATTTTCAACACGACGACACGATTTATAGAGACAATCCGACACGATACAACACGTTTAACCCGATTTGAGTTTTTATCACATTTTTGTTCCAATTTTTTTTTTTAATTACGTGGAATACATAACACGAAATTAGCCCGATAACTCAAATCGACACCCCCAAATCTTTCTAACAAAATTAAAACAAAGCTAAACAGAAATATTACGGTATAATACTTTAGATTGCTAGATTGCTGCGTCGTTCTTGGTTGGTTTCTCCCAATACTCATTTTCCCACATTTCCACTTCTTTGTTTAGCACAAATTTCTTGTCATTAAAAACTTTAAGTTCTTCAACATTATAAGGTGGAGGCAATGAGCATGGGATTGTGTGACTTGGAGACTCCATAGATTCTTCCATGAATTTCCTCCAATTCCCATCCGTGTGACACGCCATGGATTCTACACATGTTTCCACTGCATTTGGTGGAACAACTGGCTCAAACCTCAAAAGCTTCGCATATTCATTCAGTAGATGAAAAATATAGTCGTAAATATATTCCATTTTCATATCCTCGTGGATAAATCTGCTCCCTGCCTTGCCAATTGCCTCTGCCTGCAACATATTAAAGTAACACAACAAAAATTGGTAAATCATCGTAGAAACTTATGTAGTCATATCGACTAAATATTTCTGACAATAATTCGACGATCATAGTAACTCTTATTGGGGAGGTTCTTTTGATCAAATGACTATTGACTGAATTATTTGCCCCGACATGATGGATGTATGTTTGATTTTATAATATACCTTTTGGGTGTGGTTGTTACCATATTCAACCGCAAATTTGAGGGATTTGCATTTATCGCTGCCCTTAATGGGCCAATAATGTTGTTGAGGCAACATGCCTCTGTTGAAGAAATCATGAAAATGTAGAGTGATCAGCAACACTGGCGAGTCACACGCAAATATGTATTTTTCACTCACTGACCACGCAGTTCCTTCTATATATATTTTGTATCTGCAATTTGATTAATCAGGCAAAGAAAGAAAAAAAAAAGTCAAATTCTGATTCTAAATCAAAAAATGATTAATAGGCTAAACAAATTTACCAATATTTCCTCCTCTCATAAAAATGGTCTACTTATTGATGGAAGAGACGGAATATAAAATAAATATTATTTAATAGAAACTATTAAATATTTAAAGGAATTCACCTGTAGGTGCATTGATCTGCAAGCTTAGATTGGGTATATCCGGCCTTTATTTCCTCATCCCAGTTCTGTAGCACAAACACTGAGGGATTATATTTGCTAATAATGACAATGGACAATCGTAATGTTGTAGACTTATAAATTTGGTTGAAATGATACCATATCAAATAATCGAGTATTCCAGTCAACTGTTTCGGTCGGGTTGCATGTCATAAGCTCACCCCTCCAACCAGCAACGTGTGGATTCCCTTTCCAATATGCGTAAGGTTCCCTATCCTTCCATTTTATTTTCTTATTGCCTTCTTTGATCTCTTTCAATATATGTCTCCATGGCCTTATGTTCAAATCAGGCCTACAAAGTATCCAAAACAAATAGCAATTGATTATGATTTTCCAAAAAAAAAAAGGGGGGGAAGAAAGGAACTTTAATACATTTAGACTATTATCAATTGCTCAGTTGATTTTTGTCATGTTGCAATTCATTAATTACAGTATCACTCTCTTCGGTCTTATGTAACCTAGAGTTGCACCTTGTAAAGAGATTCGAATTATCAAAGTTTCAACCAGTCATCCAATATACACCTTGAAAAAAATAGCTTTTGTGCAAAATGTTACACAAAAAATTCAAATAATGCTTGAATATTTTTTTTTTTTTTTTGGGGGAAGGGGTGATAATATTATTTTCGTGCAATATCATATGTTTTATGTGTGATTTAAACAAATAAATAAATAGTTATAACTAAATAACTCGAATTGTAACCTTTTAAGCATGGCGATGAAACACAGGCAAGGCTTTTTAGCTAAAAAAAAAAAAAATTACGTACCAGCCCCAAAACGTCCAATCGGGGAAGACAATGTCATAACTCCACCAATCAGAGCAGTAACGGAACAAAGCCGGTGGCCCGGAATTGGGTCCGCGATAATCCTTTGTCGGAATCACCGGCAGATCATCGGCATCAAACATGAGCTCCAGGTCGGGCAATTTTCCAGGGTAAAATCTCAGGAACTGAAGTATACCCCATATAGTAAGCGACACCCTATAAGGATGGCGATCCTTAAAGTTCTCGACATAGACTTTCCCTTTTAGGATCACCAGTCTAAAATGTGCATTGCCTTTTGATCTTTCCACCATGTCCCTGGTGATTCCTGTCTCCTTCCAGGGCTTTAAATCCTCGTGAATCCATCGAAAATATTCAGGGCAAGTCGGGTTTGATGACGGGTCCCGGTTGATTTTTGGTTTGTACGAGGTTGGATAGTTGTTCGGGCATGTCTTTTTCCGATTCCAAGCTTTGCAATCCAGAGGGAACTGATTCTGAGGAAGGTGAGAATTCGATTCTGACACTTTGACTAGGGCTTTGATTGCCTTTTCTTTCGTTACACCCGAATATTGAACCTGAAAATTTTATTTGAGGACAATAATGTCAGAATAAAAAGGCTAGGAAATCAGTTAAAACGCCATTCCACAACAACAAATTTGAATGGTATCCTTCTTAATAATTATTTTTCAAACACGAAATTTGGTAAATTAAGCTAACTTGTATTCATTGACAAAATTATATATACCGTAACCTGGACATTTGCATGCTTTTTTTTTTTTTTTTTAACTTTTCTGATTGGTTTATTGTACTCGTCCCAGAAAACAATCCACATTTAGTTTTGAGTTTTTTTTAAAAAAATCTTTTTTAGTACAAATTTTAAAACTTAATGTGAACTATTTTTTTGGGATTGACGGAATATTAAAAATTTGGGAAATGATGAATTAGATACTGACCAGATCAATCCAACCCATGTAAACGAAGACGGAAACAAGCAAAACGAACAAGCTGATGAGAAGAACTGCGGTTCTGAAATGGGGATTCTTGATTAGAGCCTTCATTCTTGTAGCCCAGGAATTTCTTTGATAAGCAGGCCTAAGCCAGAATATATTCATCAACTTCTCCTCTTGGGGATTCATGCTTGATCGGAATTCGTTTTTCTCTTTTTTTTCTTCTTTAAAAAATAAAAAAAATCAAAGAAAATTAATCCTTTCACTTAAACCAACTTTTCGCGTCTTGGTACACATATAAAAGAAATGAAATGTGGGGTAATTAATGAAAACTAGGAAGAAGATAGATAGACTACTTAGCTCACAAATTTGATTAACTAGCTTGTTTTGAATTTTTCAAGTTGCTTGTTACTCAGGCTACCGATCTATAAGATAGAGTGTACTCTATATATATATATATATATATATATATATATATAGGTGGTACCACAATTAAAACTCCAAAATTCAATCACAATTAATAAAAGTTTGCTAAGTAATGTTGGTGAACCAGTACCTATTTTAAGTTAGATTATGATCTATCCAGCTATAAAATAATAATATTGTACTAGTCTTTTAGTCCAAAATGCAAATTAACCCATTAATGTCTACAAAAAGGTAGATTTTCCACCTAGTCTATAATTAGTTCTGTTGAATAGTTTTATGTTGGCTACCTATATTTATCCGTTCTTAAGAATAGGGGAAAATCACACAATTTATGAAAACACAAACAGATAATTGAATAGTTACGAAATAATGAGAGATTAAACAATGGAAACTGATTTCTTATAATAAACAATTTGAATGAGACTAATAAGTCGAACAATTCGCATTTGTATTTCTCATTTGTCTACTCCGTCAGATCAACAGGGTATCAAAAAAAAAATAATAATAATAATAAATAAATTAAATGACCTCATTGAAGGAAAATGAGCCTATTGATCATTCTTTTTTTTGGCTTTTCCAGAATTCATTTTCCCATTTTTCTACTTCTATGGTTAATTTAGCCTTTTCATCACTAAAAGCTTTGAAGGCCTCGGGGTCATAAGCTGGTGGCAAAGTGCATGGAATGGTATTACTAGGCGACATTTCCAGGGATTCTTCCATGAATTTTCTCCAGATCCCATCAGCAGGACAAGCTAGGGATTCAGCACAAATCTCTGTTGCTTTTGGAGAAATGGAAGGCTTGAACTTCAAGAGCTTAGAATATTCATTCAATAAATGGAATATATAGTCAAAAACATATTCCATCTTCATATCCTCATGGATGAATCTGCTTCCGGCAGTTCCAATTGCTTCTGCCTACAAAGTAATTGTCCAGAAAAAAATTTATTTGGGAAAGTTGTACAAATTATGAAATTTAATGATTCTGAAAAGGGACCAAATAAATCCAACTATAGAGTAAAAAACAAAAAAAAAAAGGAAAAAAAAAATTAATGACCTTTTCCATGTGATTGTTGCCATATTCAACAGCGAATTTAAGAGATTTGCACTTATTGTTGTCTCTCACAGGCCAATAATGGCGTTGGGGAACCATTCCTCTTATGAAGAAATCATAGAAACGAGGTGTCATATACAACACTGGCGAATTGCATGCAAGTATGTACTTTTCACTCACTGACCATGCCCATCCTTCTATATATATCTTGTATCTGCCATCATCAAACAAGGAGATAAGTCGATTTGTTTTATTTTATTTTATTTTTTTTAGTTTAACTAAAATACTATTTCTGTTTTAAAAAAATAGTCCACATTTAATTTTTAAATTTGTAATAAACATAGTACAAAAACTTAATGTAGATTATTTTTTTTGAAGAGGGAGTAAAACTTATGTAGTTAATCAATCAAGGAGGAATTGAGCTTGTTATATATGAATAAAAGAATTGTAAAAGGGGATACATAAATTTCGATATATCTAGCTTCATCATTTTGGAAGATGAACCTCGTATAAAGGCTTACCTATGAGTGCATTGATCTCCAAGATTTGAATTGTTGTATCCCTTCTTGATTTCTTCGTTCCAGTCCTGAAATTAAATTCCAGTTCGTGTATGATCTTACTAATAATAAAGCAAGAATTCCGTTTCTTGCATTACCCTTTTTCCTCTTTATTTGTTATCCATTTTCATTGTCTATCTAACATCAAATAATCTTATTATGATACTTCTCATTAATTCGATCTCAAAGTTGAAATCTTGTTTGTTGAGTTAATATCATCCAATAACTATGACTTTTATTTAGAGATTTTGGGTTAGTGACAGTATTAAGAGCATCTCCAACGAAAACATCAAAATACTAAATTTAGTGTTTTTGGTGTAAAGTTTGCACTTTGACGAATACAATCTCTACACTATTTTGGTGCAATGACTAGAATTATACCAAATTTGATGTAAATTGTCCATTATCAGGCCTGGCTCATCCATAAAGCAAGTAAAGTTAGGGCTTTAGGCCCAATATTTTTTAGGACCCATAATATTGAATTACTATGTATTATTTAAGGCCCAATATTTTTTAGGGCCCATAATATTGAATTACTATGTATTATTTAAAATAAAAACATATTCGGTCTTCAATATTTAAGAGCCCAAACTCAACATTTATCCCATTAGAATTTTTTAATATCCTGGGCTGAGTTTTAGAATTCTGATCCATGAGTCGAATTTCAATGACTTCCCGAAAAAAAAAAAAAAAAAAAAAAGAAAAAAGAAAATTTAGGTTTGAGCTAGGCTTGAAAAAGGGCCCAAATTTTGGACTTTGCTTGAGGCTCCTTGAGGGCTTGAGGCGGCCTCTCTATTACACTATTTTTAGTGCAATATCTTTTTATTTAAATCTAATATATATTTACTATGCAATTAAACTTATAAACATCTATCAAATTAAATATTTTGTTGAGATCTTTGAAATAAAATTCATATTGAATATAAATTTTATTTTTTTAAAAAATTTTAGTCATTATTAAAATTGAATGTGAAAGAAAAGTAAAAAAAATTGATAATTCTACAATCAAATAAAAAGCGATTATAAGGAACAAATTTAACAAAACTATCACCAAATTACATGATTTTAGTCAACCACAAATATAAAAATTAAACTAAAACATTTACTCCCTTCGTTCCAAAAAAATAATCCACATTGTGTTTTGAGTTTTATACTGTTTTTAGTACAAATTTGAAAACTCAATGTGGATTATTGTTTTGGGACAGAGTTAGTAATAGATAGGCTTTTTAGTGCATCAAGCTTGAAGTGTAAATCGTAAAAAGATGCTTGGATATTACTTTTGTGCACTAAATTTGGTGTAAGTTATGGTGCAATGATTGAAGATGCTTTAAACAAAAATATTTCTTAATGTTTCTTAATTACTCCCTCCATTTCGAAATGTAAATCACTCTAGATTTTGCACGTAAACTAAGGAGACAATCATTCAGCAATTAATATCTGTTTTACCGCTCATTAAATAAAAATGAATTGACGTTATTTACTGAGAGTAAAGTTAGAAAAATAGTCATTAATTCACTTTGAAATACTAAAACGACTTACATTTTCAAAAATTTTTCTAAATCTGAAATGAATTACATTTTGAATTGGAGGGAGTATGATTACACGCGACCAAAACCGTAAATATTCAAAGTGACACCTTAGCTATCGTTACACGTGACAGAGAGGGGGAATTATTCAAAGTGACGGTTATCAAAGTCAACTTGCTCATAAAAGCACCACATTCTCATTTCCTAACATTATTCATCGTGTGAACTTTCACGCTGTTTATTACCTCTCTTAAAAAAGAAAACTAACTCGAGTAATCTAATTAAGCAAATCCTTTTGAGTTTCAAAACTTTGAATTCTAGAGTACAAATCTCGTGTTACAAGTCATTTTTTGTTCTAATCAAGGATATTCGAATATTCGAATTAAATTATTACCTGAATGTATAGACGAGTATTCCAATCAGCCTTGCTGGTAACGTTACATTTCAACAGATCAGCTCTCCATGGAGCTACATTAGGATTCCCTTTCCAATAGGCATAGGGTATCCTATCTCTCCAATTGCTCTTATTGTTCCCTTCTTTAATGTCATTCAACACACTCCTCCACGGCCTTATGTTGGTCTCCGCCCTACAAAATTATAGATTTTTAAAATAGTTTAGTTTCTAAAAAAAAAAACATAAATATCAAAATATTCAATGTTAAAAATAGTTTACCCTAAATCCAAAAAAAAAAAAAAAATCCCGTTAAATTTTGAGATTTTTACTAAAAAATAATATAAATATCAAAATATTCAATGTTAATATTTTTTGGGAAAGATGAAATAAAAAAAATATTCAAACTTTGTAGAAATTTAAAGAAGAAATGAGAAATGAGAACAAGTGGTAATATTGAAGGACATCAGAAGGAAAAATAAAAAGAATTAAAAAAGTTGGATATAATAAAAATACCATCCCCAAAAGGACCAATCAGGGAAGATGATGTCCAAATGCTTCGAATCGGAACAGTACCGGAAGAGAGGCGGTGGGCCGGAATTGCGTCCACGGTAAGCCGTGGAAGCGATCACCGGCCGATCGTCGCAGTCAAACATCAATTCCAGATCAGGCAATCTTCCGGGATACCACCTGGCAAGTTGTACAATTCCCCACATAGTGAACAAAGCCCTGCTTTGAATTGATTCCTTGAATTTCTCAACATACACTTTCCCGTCTAAGATCACCAGTCTGAAATGTGCATGCTTTCTTGCTCCTTCCAGCATCTTCCTCGTTATCCCTGTCTCTTTCCAGGGCCTCAAATCTTCGTGAATCCATCGGAAGTAATCCGGGCAGGTTCCGTTTTTCGATGAAGATTCAAGATGGTTTATAAGACTTGGTTGATGTTTGATTGGATAAGTTTTTGGACACTTTTTGTTGGCCTCACTCCATGCAGCGCAGTTTAGAGGAAACTGAATCATTGGATCCGTGGATGAGCTGATCATCAAATATTTCATTGCATTCTCATAGGAAGTAAATGAAACTCTTCCCTGCAAATTCATAAAGAATTTCGACTCAATTTATGGAAAATATACCAAAACAAAAAGAAAAAAAAAGAGGAAATATTTATACTTACAAGATTAGTCCAACCAGCAGAAATCAGGAGGAAGAAGAAGAGTGAAAGGATTATACTAGTTAATCTCAAGGTATATGTCTTGAAGAAAGCGCAGCTTCTGGTTAACAATGAAGGTTTTTGGATCGCAGGCCTGAGCCAAAATATTTTCATCAGCTTTTTGTTCATAGCTGCTTCCATGATTGACCCCGATTATGTAAATTAATTAGCTCATTTCTGCGCTGGTTTTTGTAGTTGGAAAATTTTTCAGTTTCATTTTCAGTTAACTTTTATGTATAACACAAATTGAAACACTTTCCTCGTGGCCTAACCTTTCCCACCTGGTAGAATGGCTTGAGAAAAATGAGATTGAAGCTGCGCCTGAGCGTAAGCATGCACACTGGCCCAAGTATATTGTGAACGATTGCCACGTGAACTGAAAACCAAAATCAGTATTCAGGATCATTTTTGATACAATTCTTCAAATAAAAGTACTAATATTTCAACAGCAATAAAAGTATAAAGTCCATTAATTCGTCCCATGATAAAAATTTAATTCATCAATGAGTAATTTGTACATTTACTTTATTTTGGAAGAATTAATGTAAATTACTGAAGATCAAAACTCAAGTATTCATCTCATGTTCAAAAATCGTAACGGGGATTATCCGTTGTGAAAAATTAGCATAAAACAATAACCTTTTTTTTGTGCGATAAAGTTTCGAATTATAAGGAGAAACGATGCAAACAATAGCCACACTTGCTGACCATTTGATAGAACACGAGAAGAATTTTGCTATTTGGAGTCCCCAATTAAATTATTAGGAAGCTCGATTAAGGGAAATTTATTTTTAGTGTAACTGTTGTCAGACGCATATGATTAAAACTAGTTGGTTTGAACGTGCTTCGTGCGTATTTTAATTTTATAATTTAATTAGTGCTTAGCATTCATCACGTGATGCACGACACACCTTATAAATAATTTGGGTATTTAAGAATTATGAGCGTAAGGTTTGCTATCAAAGTTTTTGGATATATAAATAGTTTAGTGTAATTAGTTTGGTTTTTGGTTAAACTAATTTCTTTAATATTATTTTGGTGTATTTGAAATTTTTTTAACAAAATAATCATTAATAATGATTATATTAATTGACATTTTAAATATTGTGGAGCGGAAATATCGATATAATTTGTAATGTGGTACAAAATTTATATTTATAAAAGACCAGGGTTATATTGATGATGATTTATAGATAGGTTTTCTATTCTTATTGTGACAAGAAAAACAAAAAGTATATAAACTAATTTTGTGTTATAAAAGTGTGCCACTACAAGTATGGATTTTTAGGCATTAATTTCAGCAACTTTATAGCAAAACATTTGTTCTCGAACAAAATTGTGTCGGTACAGCTCTAGATTTTTATGCATTAATTAGGAACTTACGTTCTACTTATAGGGGAAAAAAGAATTATAAATTTCAAATTTCAATATTTTCAAATTGAATAATAATTTATAATTCTTTTGAGGAAATTTGTAACTGAAAGGATATATTTGATAGTTGGAAGTTACAGGTTAAAATTTTTGTTTATTCTACACAAGAGATGATATGTATTTGGGGTTAAGAAAACACATGTTTCATTTAGTATGGAAACCGGCAAACTTTTGAATTGTGAAGACCAAAGAAACTCTAAAAGTTGTCTAAATTTATAAACTTAAAAGCAACAACGAAGGTTGTTTTAATTAACTTAATTTTAGTCCGTCGTTGGTGACCTAATTATGGAGTATAAGATATAGATCTGATTAATAGAAAGATTCTATATATACAAATAAAATAGTATTCCATTTTTTCTAAGTATCAAAGAATTAGAAATCATATCTACTTCTATAAGCAAGAGCTCCAAAATGAACAATGGATCCGTGGTTGCACCACTTAAGGTGCATTCTTGTAAAATCACAATAGAGGAACAATAGAGGATGACGCCTATAATAGAGCACGATCGATTAATCAGAGAACAATGTGTGAGCCCCAGTCCCAACACTGAACCTCTTGCCTATCTTTCTTGTGGATGTTTTAGGACCTCCACCGATACCATATCGTAGTCTTGTAGAGAATCCTTCTTTCAAAAACTGAGTTGTATACTCCTTTCTTCTCCTTCTTAGGATGAGTGGATGGCGCATTCTCCATTTTGCTTTCCTTCAATCTACCAGCAGCCCCTTCTCTAGTTAAAGAGCGTGTCCTCAGTCTCCCAACAATGACATCAGGAGGACATTCAGAATCCGTTTCAATGGTATCTGAGTTCTGTCTAGGCATTGCAATAGGAACACTCTTGATCTTCACTCTTTAACGATGACATGTTTTTGGCAATGTGAGTTCTGCCTTGGATTTGCAAAATGAACCTCTTCATCATCTTTCTGCAACATGTCTTGTTTTTGGGGAAATTTACTTATATATATCTCAAAAAATTGAAGAAGAACAAAATAGATCTAAGATTTTTATTGTCGCTAAAACTAATCGTTTCGCGCTTCAGAAACGCGAAAAATGAAGAAATCGCGTTTTCAAAACGCTAAAATACAAAATTCACATTTTTAAAACGCAAACTAAAAAAAATGCGTATTTTTATTTTAAAAAGGGAAAATACTCACACTAAAGCAGAGCAGGAGTCCAAGTCCTGGACTCCTTAAAGATGAGTCACGTTAAGCCAAAAAAAAAAAAATGAATGGAGGTTGGTCTACAGTATCTATATATAGGCAACACATAAGCCTTGGTTTCCACCGTTTTGTGGCAGTATACGGCGTATTTTATCTTGTGGCAAACCACTAATTTGTCATCCTTGATGCCATTCAACTTCCGGGCATCCACAATTTGGTAATTTTGGGATGACTTTGTATCGGGTTTCTGAACCTCTGTTGAAACCGCCTCGATTTTTACCCAATTTAGTTGTGATGAAATCCACCATGGATTCCAGCAAAGTGGCACAGTACTTCTCCTCGCCGTCAATTCCAGGATCCTCGCATTCTTTGATGGTGTTCTTCACCGCCTCCGCCGAGACCGAATCGGGTTTGAGATGATGAGAAGAAAAGGAAAATTTTAAAATTAGCCCAAAACCCCACATGAAATGCGAATAGGAAGAAAAAATTTATCCCCCACATGACCGCGCTTCAAAAATGCGAATCCCTTCTTTCCCGCAGTAATTCGCGTTTTAAAAACGCTTGTTAAGCAGAAAAAAAAGGTGCAAGAAGGTTTCAAACCTGGCACCTCTTTAATCTAAGAGGTACCATTGAAGCCGGAATTACACATCTAGTAATTGAAAGTTATTTAACAATTATATTACAATATTTATTATTTTTATATATGTAATAGCTAGTTTCACTTAATCGGAATCTATTATTGATCAAATTTTTACTTTTTACATACATAATACTTAGTTTTGTTCAAACGGAATCTGTTATTGATCAAATTTGAATTTTTTTTATTCGTAATATTTAGTTTTACTTAAAGGGAATATGTTATTGATCAAATTTATACTTTTTACATACGTACTACTTAGCTTTACTTAAATAGAATCTGTTATTGATCAAATTTGAACTTTTTTACATACGTACTACTTAGTTTTACTTAAATAAAATCTGTCATTGATCAAATTTGAACTTTTTACATACGTATATCTTAGTTTTACTTAAACGGAATCTGTTATTGATCAAATTTGTACTTATTATACACGTACTACTTAGTTTTACTTAAACAGAATCTGTTATTGATCAAATTTATACTTTTTACATATGTACTACTTAGTTTTACTTAACAAAAATCTGTTATTGATCAAATTTGAACTTTTAAATACGTACTACTTAGTTTTACTTAAATGGAATCTGTTATGGATAACATTTGTACTTTTTACATACGTACTACTTAGTTTTACATAAATGGAATCTGTTATTGATTAAATTATGTACTTTTTGCATACGTACTACTTAGTTTTAATTAAACAAAATCTGTTATATATCATCAAATTTGTACTTTTTAAATAAGAAAAGTTTACTGTAGCAACCAAAGAAAATATTATAAATGATGTAAAATCTACAAATTAAAATATTAAATCTACAAATTTAAAATATAATATAATAAATGATGTAATTGATATTTAAAAATATCAATAATGATAAATGATGTAATTTTAAGAATTTATATAATTAGATGTAATTCAATTTACAAATTGCTTATATTAATTATGATGGTTTAAAAATAAGAAAAACACTTGAAATACTATTTGGGATAAAATTGAAATAGAAAAATTATTATTAAGGGTGTAATTGAAAAAATTTTAATCTTACGTGATTCAAATAAGAAAAAAAATTAAAGGGTGTCATAATCTGAAATATTAGGGTGCCTATTTTGTAAAAATAAACCCAAAACCAGAAACCCAACCCATTCCAAAACCCAAACCACCCAAAAACCTTAACCCGCCATGAAACCCAAAACCCAAAGCCCACCCGGAAACCCAACCCCTCCAAACCCAACGCCCTCGAAGCCCAATTATTCCACCCCAAAACACTCCCGGGAAACCCAACCACTCTAAACCCAAACCATCCTAAAACCTTAACCCACCATTAAACCCAAAACTCAAAGCCCATCCCGGAACCCAACCCCTCCAAACCCAACCCCCTTGAAACTCAAAATATTTTCTTTAAAATATAAAGATTTGCGTTTTAGAAAGGCTATTGAAGCTTTTCGCGTTTTCAAAACGTGATCCATCATTTTTCCTTTTGATTCCGGTTCATTTTTCTTTATTTTCCCCCGGATCAACTTTTCCAAAAATTAATCAACAAGTTTCGCGTTTTGCAAACGCGAGAATACGTTATTTTGCGTTTGTAAAGCGGGAGAAGATTAGAAATGTCCAATTTCGATACTCTAGACTTATTCTCTCCCACCCTTTTAATCTGAGCCACCCTAAAGTCAAGCATGTTTTTGGCTTGCATGTTGAGGTGAGATGACTTCTGCCTTGGATTTGCAACAGGAACATGCTCTTCATCGCTAACCTGAAATGGTGATGTGTTTTCACCTTCCATGTTGTGGCAATTTGAGTTCTGTCCAAGCTTCATGGCAGGAACACGCCATGCATTTGTTATTATGTACCTGCATCTTGTTTATGTCTTGCAAATCGAGGTGATATGAGTTCTGTATAAGCTTTGCACCAGGCACACTTCCTTCCTAATTATTCTGCACTGGTGGCATGTTCTCAGCTCCCGTGTGGAGGCAATAAGAGTTATTTCCCGTCTTTGCATCAGGAATACTCTTGTCAACACTATTCTGCAACAGGGACATGTTCTCAGCTTCCATGTTGAGGCAATATGAGCTATGTCTAAGCTTCATAGTAGGAACATGCTCTTCAACCATATTCTGGAACGTTGACATGCTTTTGGTTTCTGCATCAAGACCGTGCTCATTGTCTGATGGTGCAATGGTTCCTAGTATCTCTCAGAGCTTCATTCTTAAGGTCTCACAACCCTTTGTTTCTGGTTTGGAAGTTGCGTGCACTCCCACATTCTCAACACAATTGTTGCTACACCCGTTATCACCAGATAAGTAGAAAAAGGAGATTAAGATCAAACTTTCTCGATGATGCCTAATAATGGTAAACATGCAAATATGCGCGATAAGAATTGACCAGGGTCCAGTAAACAAGCCTAGGATAACAACAGTTAAAGAACCATTCAAAATCATGAAGTCAATCAATCTAAGAAGACGACCAAGTCTATTTAGCACACAATAGAATATATTTGTCCCAGCGACCAAAAACATATTACACTTTTCAGTGTCAACAGAGAATGAAATTTAGAAATTGCTTAAACAAACCTAAGTACAAGAAACAGCTCCTAAATTGTTTACAAATAGGATGGGTCTCAATTCTCAAACACTACCAAGCCTAGTGCAAATCAATTATAAAGTTCTTAAAATATCAACAAATCATCCATAAAAAAATGATACATCAGGAAACTGAAATTTCATGCACTAACCAAGAGGAAAAACATGAATGAAAGGTTGTTAAAATAGGCAGTTTACTTTGCTGGTTACAAATAAGATGCAGTCAAAGTAACAACTGGAAAAGTGATATACAGTAACTACTTGAAAAGTGATGATGATTTATTTTCACCAAAAGAAATGGATTTACAACATTCTACATCTAGAAACTATTCTTTTCTACACATGATAGAAAAGTAGAAGTTCAACGTGTTTTGCACACATCTTTATTTGGCAACTGGAGCTAGCAATATATCCATTAAACCGATAAGGAAAGGAGTTCACATAATGAAAGTTTGTTCAAGAATCCCTTTGCATTCACGTACAGATATATTTTGAAGTATAATCGTAGTACTTTGACGAGTCATACTTGAAACTGGTCCTGAGAGAAAAATTAAAAAAGGAAAGAACGGTAACCAACCATTTACTGTCAATCTCTGGCCGCCCAGGGTTAAGCGAAAAGACTGGCTCGCCCGTTGTACAAGCTCTCTGAAATCTCCTCAAACACATACCTTCAGACAAATATGCAAATAAGTTAAGATAATACTTTGTTGTGGGAATGTATCAAAAGAATTTTTATAGCAATTAGCAGCTACAGATATTAACCCAAAAAGAAGATAGAGACACAATCTGGACATACATGTATATAGAGGCAAATTTTGTGGTGAATTGTCTATCAGGGATGCAATATATTAATTGAGGAGACAACGAGTTGTTAAAACAACCTGTTATTGTAAAATCATAGCTAGCACATAACGTAATCGAGTTTGCATACCAACAAAATGTAATCGTGTACACATTAAGCTTCTGCCTGCTACTTTTTTTCTTTTTAAAAAACCTCAAACTAGACAATTATTATGGGACTGAAAGAGTAAATATACTTAAGAATTTAACTACAAGGTATTTAGTATTTCAGTGTTTCAACGAGTTATTTTACTAGAGTTAACAATACGTGTTTAAGTCAAAGTTCTGTAAAGAATTCATATATTAGGATGGGGTGTGCATGGCTCAGTTAAAATTGGCTAAATCGGTCGTGCCAATTAAATTTGACCACTTTGGAATACGTAAAATTGAAGGTCAGTAAGGTTTTTTTTACCATTATTTGATCTGATTTCGGTCTGATTGTGAAAACGATGATTTAGACCAGACTAGACTGTATATATATATATATATATATATATATATATATATATATATATATATATCTATCATATGTATGGTATGGAGACACTTACACATTTTGCCCATACATATTTCATTAAGTGTGTGTGTATATATATATATATATATGTATGAATATGTGTGTATATATATATATATATTTATATATATGTATGTATTTGTCTATATGGACACGGTTGCACTTAAATATATATAAATTTATTTATCATCTTTAAACACAAATCATCAAGTGTTCTATTGGTAATGTGGTTTCTTTTACATTAAATGATCTTTGGTTCGAATATGCCCAATGATATTTTTAAGTTTTTTTTTTCCTTGGGCCTTTAGGGATTAAAAATATGGGCCATAAAGCACTTTTAAACTTATTCTTTTCATGGGTTTTTATGAAACAGATAGCAGGCTTTCGGGGTCTGAAAATATAGGCTATTTTTAAAGAAATAATGTAGGTTTTTAAGACATGGGCATTTAAGGAATCAAAATGTTTAATTTTAAGAATCTTTTTGGGCTTTATGAAACAATTCGTGGGCTTTAGGGATAAAAAAAATGAGAGCCATTATATTTTTAACAAATCAAGAAATAAAAAATTTAGACCATTATTAAGAGATATAAATTAAATTTTTAGAGTCGAAAAATTGGACTTCTAAAAAGTCCACTTAGGGCCCAAATTGTCTAACCCAGCTTGACTAAGGGTCTATTTGATAAAAATTATTGCTTAATACTAAATCTGAAATACTGAATTTATTAAGCAGTTAAGGAAAAAGTAATAAGTTAACTTTTATTACTTATATTTTGTACTGCAGTTTCAGCACCACTTATTTCATTAAAAAGTTTCATTTTTTGTCATCAAACATGCTGAAACAAGAAAAATTACTTAATCCACTAATTTTAAGCATTAAGTGGTTTTATCAAACAAGTCCTAAATCGGTTACAAATGATCTGACAGTTTAATCGAACATTTTTAAGCAGTTTATTTGGCAGGAAAAATCCTGAACTAGACTATTAGGTTCGGTTTCGATTTTATAAATGATTTGGTCCAATATTTTTAAATAGCTGGTTTGACAGAGGAAAATCCCGTATGAAACTATTTGGTTTTACTACAATTTTGTTCTTCTAAGATGCCAGTGCATGCCACTATATTAAGGTGTCATATCTATTACAATTACTAACTAAAACATTCCTTGACATCATCGCTTCCATTCTTCAATGACAACATATACTTGTCACAACACAACGACAAAGACAAGTCGTCAATATTGATTACTCTACCAACAAGGCAAAATGTTGTCATTAACATGTCATCACTAAAACTAGTGACAAGATATAGATCGTCATTATAGGGGCGTGTAGTGACAAGAATATTAACTTGTCATTGTGGAAAAAAGTTGTCATTAAACCATAGCTATAATGACAATAGTTTAGTGACAAGATGTCAACTTGTGACTAAACCTCCAGTTTCTTGTAGTGTTTGTAAATTATAAAAAATTTAAATCTAACCAAAACAAATCATGAAATTTTGATATATATGTCATGAGATATGTTATTCTAATTCATGAATTTTTCATAGAATGGGTATGAACCATGAATATAAGAATTTATAAACATTTTATTAATATTTTTAATTTCTTCGTATAAAAATTTTCAAAACTTTCATGAACATTATTTTATATGGGTATGAATATGGTCTTTAGTTAGTCTTTGTTTTTTTTGCGCATTAATTTTCAATTTTTCAAGAAACAATTGTGAAACTGGGATACTCATGATATGAAAAGTATGAATGTTATACATGAATATTATATGAAAAGAGTATGAACATATATTGCACACATGATTAATTTATTGAAATTTCTCTAATATATATGAACATTTCGCATAGTCTTTATGAATAGTCATAGTGTATGCATGAATAGAAGATGAAATACATGGCAATTTTTTTTTGTGGTTATGTGTACAATTTCTTTAATCAAAAGTTATGAAGTTTATGTATATTTCATATGAAAAATGTGATTATCATTTATGAATTTTACATTGTATGATTATGAACGTTTAGTTTTGTATGAATAGAATTAGTATAAAATTTTATTTTGGATTATATTTTTTTTCCAAAATGATGAAATTTAAATATACTTGACATGAATAATATAGTTTTATTAATGAATTTATCATGACATGAGTATGAACATTTGATATATCACAAAAGACACCGGATTAATCTATTTCTATTTTGTTTGAACTTTTTGAATAATCTCTCATGAACATTGTATGATATGATATGAATATATAATAATTAATAATTTTTTTAATCTAATTTCATAATTTTAATTATATATCATGAAATTAACTCCAACATATATGACATGAAAGTATGATGGATATGGTATGAAAAAAATGATGGTCATTCATGAATATGTGAAATTTGAGATACTGATTTTTAACATACGTATGAGGGAAAAAAAAGAGATAATTTCAAAATTACTATGATATTGGTTTGTTTAGATTTGAAAACATAGTGTGAAAAATTAAATGTGGAAGAAAAATTAATTTACTAAATACCATTAATAACTAATTACTCATTCCTTGATTATATTGTATTAATTAAATCCGTGCACCAAGTATGGTGAACCTGGTGCACCATATAAAAATTGAATACATATTCGAACTTAAAAGCTGCATAAATGAAATGAGTATAAACTCTGCATTAACTGTCACTCAACCCCCGTAAATACGGATCATAACCCTATTTTATTAGAGATGCGTAATCATTAATGCTTGAATGCAATACATTATATTCATCGAGCCAAATTACATCGTATGTATAAAATTACTGCAGGAAAATATTACCCTTTTCATAAAATAATCCACATTGAATTCTAAAATTTATTTATATAAAAACAGCAAAAGCAACAAAAAAAAAAAAAACATTAAGTGAGCCAACGGGGTAATATTTGTAACGAGCGCGTGGCCATCATAACCATCAGCTCTCGTAGACGCCAACGAAAGCAACATTTATTGAGCCAACGTACAATCTTCTTCTTCCAAGATTGCTGCGATACTCTTGCACAATATTCACTTGAACTCCGGAATACTGTGCGGCAAAACTTTTGGCCAAAATAACGCCGCCCGTCGAATTGAACTTGTAACCAAAGGAATGAATCAAAAGTGGTTTTTGCCGAACCACCACGTTTACTGGCACCCAAAACAACCCGGACTCGGGGGATCTTTTTATCTTGAGAGGATAACCTGGTAAATCTAACACCTTTTGGGGTTCTCCTTTGAAGTAATACTTGAAAATTTGATGCGTGCCGAAAGAACCGTACATTACATATCTACCGTCTCCACTCGCCGCCGGCCCTGTGGGAAGATGAAGTTTGTCTAACAAAACTCTCAGTTTTCCGGTTCTAGTGTCGTATTCTATCAATCTTCCGGTTGAATCTTTTGAACTGAGAGGGTTTCCCATAAGAACATCCCTGTGATGCATAAATGATAAAAAAAATTACGCAATTTCCAAAAGGGTGCATAACATGATACTGTAAATACAAGATGCATGCTTTTTAATCAATTATGAACAAACTGATGAGTTGTTAGCACCAAGATGAATAACGGAGTGAGGTGTACGTACGTGAAGTTGTATTTCGAACTGGTATCTGTGAAGTAAACAACTCGTCGGTACGGATCAAAGTCAATGCCGTTAAGAAATTTGAACGGCACGTTGTTTACCCCCGATGCAATCTTCTTGGCTAGTCCACCTTTTGGTCCAACTCTATAAAATCCACCATAAGCACCCACAACATACAGGTCCCCAGTTTGGGGATCAAAACTGAACCCTAACGTCCTTCCGCATGTTCGACCCATAGTTAAGTTTCTCACGCCATCGCATAGTGCTTTAGACCTAATAAGAAAGGAAATATGCATTAATTCATGAGATGAACAAGGATTAGACGGTGTGAGCAGTGCATGTGTAAGTTTCACATGTTTCCAGTTCACCTGTAAAACACAGATAATACATAAAAAGTACCTGTTCGGGGAAATCCAAGCAAAATCCTCAAACTCCCGACCATTGTATTTGAGGATTCTGCCATCGCTTACACCCACGTAGGGACCTTTATTGGATGGATTCAGGGCAACCGAATCGGGACCAACTGGTCCAGGAGGAAGATTGAGCTGAGAATATTTTGTAAATGGATCTGTCAATCGCAAAGCGTATAAATGAGGCAAAAAGTACAGAATGATAAAAACGGATAACGTTTTCTTCGCCATTAATTCTACAATGGTGGCTAAAATAAAATGAAGTTTGTACATGTTCAACAGGAAATTCTGCTGTATTTATAGGCAGAATGATTTTTTGTTCCGGAGAATGAAAGTGGTTGTTCTGAGCTGCCCATTAACCAATTATACAATTTTTCATTTACTATTCGATCGGTCAACTGTATTGGTATATAGGTATATCCTGTTAATTTCCAGCGAGTAAGGCATCGGGGAGGAAAAAAATTCGGATCTTTCTTGGTATTTGAATCATACTACATATAGTTAGTTGTATAAGTTCTTACTTGAATGCTACTCCCTCCATTCACAAATAGATGTCGTTAGAGGAAAACTTAAATATTCCAAAATAGATGTCGTTCTCACAAATCGAGACATATTTTGTCAATTTTTCCAATATCACCCTTACATTGGAAATTGTTGTGATGTTTAATGTAGAATTGTATTAGAAGTGAATTTTATTGGGACTACAATTGAATTGAGAATAAATGAGGGTATTATAGTATTTTAACAAGATAATTATTGCCTCCTTAAACTTTGTGAAATCTCTCCAGCGACATCTATTTGTGAATGGAGGGAGTAATAATTAATTAAGTTTCTTTAAAAATTGAGCGAGCAGTAAATATAGAATGGAAAAATTTCAATTCAGATTAAAGTTTTTCTGTTTTTTTTTTCACTTGATTTTTTAAATGTATAAATAATTTTTTTTTTAAAAAAACAAAGTAATCTCTTATCGTCGTTTCTTGATTTGAAGTAAGACTCCATGGAAATCACTGGCTAATACCATCAAACTCCGATGTAAAACTTGATTTCAATCTGGCAGTACATCCAAGGCACAACTAAATAAATTAATCAACTTGATAACTTACGCGTAAATGAATAATCTTTTTCTAGGCTACTCGACTAATTTCGATGTAAACCAAATCTTTGACAATATACATTCTCCTATAATTAATATAATTTGCGAGTCAGGCGTGAAATAAAAAAAAATCGTACATGCAGTATATGCATGCAATAAACAATGTATTTGTTTATTTTTGTTCCAGATTTCAAATCAACAAGATCAGAGCAATAATTTTTACAACCTACAAGTGGCACATTTTATCACTTTAATTAATTAGTTTGAAAAGAAGTTACCTCTCCATGAACAAGGGCAAATGAACTTAATAATTTATTTTTTTGGTAGCAGGAAATTAATAATGTTGAGGAAAATTTGACAAATCAAACCAATTTGTAACCTCGAGCGCATAAAGTTGACTTATGATGCTCACAAATTCAGTCGATTAGTTGCTCTGTTTTAAAAAAAGCGTACAGGCAGTATGCATGGAATAAACAATGTACCATTTTCTAAGATTTCGAATCTACAGGTAAGAACATTAATGGCATACCAATTAAATGGTACTGTACAACTTCACTTTCAAAAGAACTTTAGTCAACACTCCATAAACTAGGGCAAAGGAAATAATGTTTGCTAAGCAAATAAGTTTAAAATCTCGATTTTATGATTTGAGTTTTGGACAATGATGATGCTCACGGATCATGTGGGATCCCGAATAACCCGAGTTGAGTATTATTACTCCCTCCAGCTCACCCATATAAGAAAATTCATATCATTAAATATTGTATCAATTTTTTTAAAAAAATTAAACAATATAAACAAATACGACTTTAATTTGAAGAGGGGAAGATTTCTTTTCTTTTCTTTTTTATTACTGTTTGAAGTTCCGTTTCAATCGGTATGGAAATTAATAGTTAAATATAATGGATGCTAAAATTGTAAGAATACTATTAGAAAAAGGCTAAAAGAGAAGGGTACCAGAAAAAAAGCAGTTACAAAAGGAAACTAGTTTGGCGTAAGAGACAACGCTATTCAGAGCACAATAGACAATTTCCACTCTTTAATCCAAACTAGATGTTTCTGCCGGGCGAATGCCAGTCACCCATACATTAGATCGGTTCAATAATAAATTAATTATTTTTAAAATTTAAGAATTCATTAAATATCTAAAAGAATAAAAATATTGGAAAAATTTAAGATTTTTCTAGCTTTTAATATTTTGAAATCTTTTGAATTTGAACCTAAAGGTATATTAAATAAATTGAGTGAGTTTTGAGATGGAAAATTAGGGATTTTTATATTTAGAGTGAATTTTTTTTTTTTTTGCAAATTACAATGTGACTGTAATATATGAAAATTGTTAGATCAAATTTGTTTAACTTAATCTCCACCGTTGAAAGTCATAATTCTAAATTTTTGACAACTAAGCCTAAAATCACTCCGATACAGGGGTGAAAAAATATTAATTGAGGAACTGATATATCTCATCTTTCTATATGTTGCTTTATTCAAGTACTATAAATTCCCGAAACTAGTGTAGCTCGTTTTCAAATCATTTTGTTAGTTACCTGAACTCACTATTGTCACCAAAATTTCCTCAGAAAAATGATCTATAAAAAGAGTGAATCAGTACTACAAATTTACTATATTAGTATAATAAATGTTGTGGCACATGATAATGGAAAAATGCGAATGAGATTTTTCTTTTCTTTTTTTTTTTTTGGGTAACGCATTACTTTTACTCTAAAATTTCATTCTTCATTTGTCGAGTATTGTACTTCTTCAGTAAAAAAAAAAAAAATTCATAATAAAAAAGTTAGACTTTATTGAACGAAATTAACATACTTATAGAGTGAAATTACAAATTAATTTACGTTCGCGGGAACCATGTCGATAGAGGAATGATCAAAGTCGACATGATATATAAAAAACCAGTACCACCTAAATTCATTCGTAATTGGTTATCTATAGTAGTCCCGATGTTCGATATTTACCAACAAAAGACACAATTCGAGAGCCAACGAACAATGTTTTCCCAGAAAAACCAAGCAAACTGTTATACTCTTGCACAACATTCACTTGAGCTTCAGAATACTCCGTACTAAAATTCTTCTTCAAAATTATACCACCAAAGGAATTGAACTTATAACCAAACGGATGAACCAGACGAGGTTGCGGTTGAACCAACACGTTGACTGGCACCCAAAATGACCCGCAAGGGGCTCTCTTTATTTTCACAGGAAACCCGGGTAAATTATCTATCAGGACTTCGGTTGCTCCTTTTTTTGGCCCTATGAGGTGATACTTGAAAATTCGTTGAGTGGTAAAAGAGCCGTACACTAGAAATGTACTGTCTTCACTTACTGCGGGTCCTGTTGGACGAGGAAGCTTGTCTAATAATACTGTTAATTGTTTTTTTTCAATGTCATATTTTATTAATCTTCCACTTGAATCTCCTGGTATTTCTGGGCGTGATAGGAGAGCATCCCTGTAAAACATATACACAAGATCATTGGAATTCAAAAGGTGCTGAAATTTTTAAAAATATAAGAAGAGAAATACTTCCTTCGATCCTTATAACAAAACATTTTGATTGGTCCTATATTTTACATAGTATAATTTTTCGAATAAAAAAAATCTTAAAAATATTTCTTAATAATTAGAGAAAGCAATGAATGTGAAATTGTAAATTTTAATAATTTTTTAATAAAACATAAACTGGACAAAATTTAAAACAAATCAAAATGCCTTACAATATATACCAGAGAAAGTACATTCAAAAAGTAAATTATGGCTAAAAATAAAAAAATGAAAAGAAACGAAATGGAGTGAAGACGTACGTGAAATTGTATACCAAACTGGTGTCGGTGAAGTAAACGACTCTTTTGTTTGAGTCAACGTCGATGCCGTTAAGATAGTTAAATTTAACGTTATTTACGCCGGAGGCTATTAAATTGGCTTTTCCGCCGCCGGGGCTTACTCTGTAAAAACCACCGTAAGCACCCACGACGTAAAGATTTCCTGTGTTTGAATCGAAACTGAACCCTAACGGCCTTCCACAAATAGGACCCATACTCAAGTTTCTCACCCCTTCGCATAATTCCTTTGTCCTAGAAAAGAAAGATGGATCATGGATGTATTAAAAAGAAAAAAAAAAATAGTAGTGACAAAAGGCTATCTCTTGCCTCCAGAATGTTACAGAAATATTGGAGCAAAATTTGGATAATTCCAAAATTAATATACAAATTAAAAGCACGTACCAATTTGGGGAAAGGTAAGCAAAATCCACGAACTCTTTACCATTGTATTTGAGAATTCTGCCATCGCTTACACCCACGTAGGGACCTTTATTGGATGGATCCAAGGAAACTGAATCAGGACCAAAAGGTCCAGGAGGAAGATCGAGTTTGGAAAATCTTGTGTACGGATCTGTTACTTGCAAAGCAAACAATTGAGGAATGAAAAACAGAAGCGTAAAAATGGGCAACATTTTGTAATAATTGAGTTGTATTACTAAACTAGTTAAACAAAATAGACAGAAAGATGGTGGTGGATTATCAAAGGAATTTCTGAAGTACTTATAGGCAGAGTAGAACACAAAAGGGGTGGAAATCCCTAATAGTTTTGGAGAAACAAGTTTGCTGGTCTAAGCTGTTAATTAATTAATTAGATATTGTAATTTTTTAGGCACTAAATTATCAGTCGGTACCAGCTTGTTTCTAGCGTGGGAGCCATTACTTAAGATTTAGATCCTAATATTTTTATAATTTACTTTGTTAGATTACTCCTCCAAAAAAATAGTTTATATTGTAATTTGTGAATTGTAAAGTTTTTTTTTTTAAAAAAATTACAATACCGTTTTTTTATGTGTGAGAATAATTCAGTAAAATGAAGCATTAAAATGAGATGGAAGAAAATCCGATCTAGTATGTAGTCATACTTTGAGACCTAGGTTTTATTCCGATATAAAATTTCCCATGCACAATTGCTAGTCTCATCTAATAAGCAAAGAATTTGACTTTACTTTGTTTAATTTCATACTGCTGAACAAAATATTTTGATAATTACTTGGTCGCCGTTCACAACTTACACATACATTATCATATTTGTAAGCATCATCCAATCGACAAGGAAAAGCAATCTTTGATTCGACTTTAAAGTTTAAACGTGCGTTCCGAGAGTCCATTCTTTTTTTTTTTTTATTTTTTTTATTTTTTTTTTTTTTTATTTTTAGCTTAACTTAGCCTCGTTTCGGCGATCAGTTTAATTATGAGAAATTTTACTACTACGGAGACAAATTTCTCACACATAAATTTTTTTATTTTCTATTTTTAATGTCTTAATTGAATTAATTTTACGCAAGCTTTATACAAAAAAATGTATATTGTGCAACTTTTGGCTAATACCAACTAGTCCCTCCAATCCTAATTATAAAACAGAAATATAAATTAATTTTAGAATTAATAATTTTTCTTATAATCAAAATTAGAGGGAGTACTATTTAGCCTCAAACAGAATAATATATACCAGCTCACCCTTTGTCTTCTTCGAATCAAATTAGAAAGTCAGATATCAATTTTTTTTTTTAAAAAAATGTACATGCAGTATGCGTGCAATAAACAATAGACCATTTTCAGATCATCAAATCTCTCGAAACCAGAAACCCACTACCATATCATCAGAAAGTCCTGACAGCAGATACATAATTATAATGGTAATTTATTATTCCCTCTTTTCCATAATTATTGTCCGGTTTGGATTTTCATTTCGAGTTTAAATTATACTAAAAGTGAAATCACAATTTGGATTATAATTTTGGGACAGTAGAAGTATTTTTTTAAGAGAAGGTTAGTCAATGCTCCAAACCCATAAGCTTGGGCAACGGAATACATGACAAGGCAAATTAATCAAGGTTTACAATCTCGTTTTATGTTTGACTTTTCGCTAGTGATAATGCTAATAAAGCGCGTCACGTCCGATCCATGAATTTCCTCCTTCTTGCTTCTCTGTTTTTTAAGGAAAAAAAATTCAAAAAAAGTGTGCAAGTAAAAATGATTTACTTAGCTATTCTTACATTAACAAACTTATATAGGAAGGAAAAGGTTATATTGCATAGACAATGAAGATCGAAACGTGAGAAGGAAGAAAAACGTTAATCTCGTGAAGCCTACTCCTCTTTGCGTGTCAATAATCTCAAATGATATATCTCGTTGAAATGGAATGTCAATATAAATAGCCACATAAAGTTTCGAAGTTATCAATTTGCAATACGGTAAAAAAGGAGAGGTGACCATTGGGATAATTGATTTGGTGTGTGAACTATAGATTTAGGCCATTCAAACTTAATTGCCTTCCATCTTAAAACCACGAGTACGCAGTTTATCCATAAGGTTATCAGGATCTTTGGAATTTCGATTTTGTTAAATAACCAGTTAGACAAGATACAATTATGGAATTTGTAGCTACAAGATCATTCTTGAACTACCTGAAAATCGATCAAGGGTTTGCCATGGTAGAGCTTCGAAGAAGAGGAGCAGAAGAGGAGCAGTTATTTTGGGTAAAAAATATTCTGTAAATCATTAGTCATTGATGTCTTTTAATTTACAAGTATATTCTACTTTTATACAGTCTAAAAACCAACCTACTCATGTATTTTCCAGCTGTCTTTATATACATTTCTATTCTGTATTTTTATGTACAATATTCCACATCAGCACCTATACAATTCACATATTTATGTACACTGTCACGTGAGTTGCAGTACTCGTTTCATTATCTCTTGATCAGCATCCAGTGAAGAAGCAAATTGGTCTGATGAAGTTGACTCTCGGTCAAGATCCAATTGCTGAAGTTGCTGGCTGATATCGTAGATGCCCCCCTCAAGTTGAGGCTTGGGATGGTGAAGATCTGCAAGACTCAACTTGGACAAAAGATAGTGAAACTGAGGAGAACAAAGAACCTTGGTAAACAGGTCAGCAGGTTGTGACTTGGTACCAACATGGAGGAGATTAATAAAGCCCTTCTTGTATTGATTGCGAACTACGTGGCAATCAATATCAAGATGTTTGGTGCATTCATGGAAAGAAGGATTTGCAGCAATATGCATCGCAGACTTATTACCACAGCAAAAACTGATAGGAAGATTAACTGGAACATGAAGATCAGACAGAAGGTAGTAAAGCCATTGTAATTCACAAACTGTTGAAGCCATGCTACGATATTCTGCTTCACAACAAGAACGTGAAACCGTAGTTTGCTTCTTGGTCTTCCAAGAGACAAGGGAAGAACCCAAGAAAATGCAGTAACCAGTTAAGGAAAAACGACTTTCAGGACATTGTGCCCAGTCAGCATCAGAAAAAGCAGTGAGGTGAAGGTCACTGTTGGTTGCATAAAAGAGTCCCAAAGAAGGCGTACCTTTAAGGTATTTAACCACATGTAATGCGGCATTCCAGTGAGCTTCTCTGGGAGAATGCACATGTTGACTCAATTGTTGAGTGGCATGAGTAATATCAGGCTTGGTAAATCCCAAATACAGAAGTCGTCCCACTAACCTCCGATAAGCTTCAGGATCAGAAAGTAAGGCTGTGGGAGAATCAGGCCCTTGGGAAGACGAGTAGAAACGAAAACACATCCCAGAAGACCAGTACAGTCTAAAAGATCAAGAATATACTTCCTTTGATTAAGAGTAATGCCACTGCTAGATCGGGCTATCTCCACCCCCAAGAAGTATTTGGATGGGCCTAAGTCTTTGATGGTGAACAACTTGTGCAGATATGCCTTAGTGGAAGCAATCAGAGAATCAGAAGAACCGGTTATCAGGACATCATCTACATACACCAGCAACACAACAAAATCAGAAGCAGTGGTCATGGTAAACAAACAATGATCAGCAGAGGATTGCTGATAACCAAATAATTCTAACTGCTTGGTTAACTCATGATTCCACTGTCGAGAGGCTTGTTTCAGGCCGTATAAGGAATGCTTCAGACGGCAAACTTGAGGAGGAGATGCTTTAGTATAACCAAGAGGCAGTTTCATAAACACTGTTTCATCCATAAATCCATGCAAAAACGCATTGTTGACATCCAACTGATGAAGATGCCATCCTTTTGCAGCTGGCAAAGCAAAAAGGACTTGTACTATGACAATTTTAGCCACAGGAGAGAAGGATTCGAAGTAATCTTCACCCTCCACTTGAGTGTAACCTTTGGCCACCAAGCGGGCCTTATGTTTATCAAGAGATCCATCAGCATTATATTTCACCTTGTAAATCCATTTACATCCAATGGCTTTCTTGCCAATAGGTAAATCAGTAATTTCCCACGTCTGATTTTCTTCAAGAGCTCGTAGCTCCTTTTCCATAGCCAATTGCCATTCTAAGTGCTTATTGGCCTGAACATAGGACTTAGGTTCTTGGATGTGAGAAATATTGGTCAGAAAGGCTGTATGAGAAAAACTAAGATAAGGTTGTTGAATGAAAGGAAATGTGAGAGGAGGAATAAACTTGGAAACATGAATAATGTCTGAGAAATCAGAAGACGCAGAAATAGGAAGAGTGGTAGTATCAATGGCAGAATGTGAAACATATTGTTCCATCCAGTTTGGTGCTTTTCTGACTCTAGTGCTGGTTCTTGGTACAAAAATGGGAGGAGAATGTGGAGGAGAAGAAGGTATGGCATCACTAGTGGAAGAAGGGGAGTTGATTGGTTATGGATCACTAGTGGATCCTGAGACAGTAGAAGAAGGAGAAAGTGATGGCAAGATGTGTGAATCCAGGAGTAAATCAGGATTGTTAGTAGAATGCTGAAAAGAAGTTGGAGAAGGTGTGATTTTAGAGGAATTATAAGGAAACACCTCCTCTCTAAATACCACATCTATGGTGATATGAGTTTTGTGATCTGTAAGGTTGTATACTTTGTAACCTTTTTGACCAACAGGATATCTAATGAAGACACCCTTGAATGCCCTGGGGGAAAACTTGTCTTTATGAGGATTGGTATTAGTCATGAAGCAAAGGCATCCAAAAGTTTTCAGGTGTGAAAGAACGGGCTTCTTAAGGAACAGAACTTCATATGGAGTTTTCCATTGAAGAAGAGAAGATGATAACCTGTTTATTAAGTAGGTAGCTGTGAGAATGGCATCCCCCCAAAATTTTTTTGGAAGTGAAGACTGGAACATGAGAGCTCTAGCTACCTGAAGTAAGTGTTTATGCTTTCGTTCCACCACACCATTTTGTTGTGGTGTATAGGAACATGACTTTTGATGAAGGATGCCTAGAGTAGAAAAAATGTGTTGACAGTGATGATTGACAAATTCACTGCCATTATCAGACCTTAAGATCTTGACTGTGGTATTAAATTGGTTTTTGTCCATAGAAAAGAAAGTTTCAAGAATAGAAACAACCTCAGTTTTGTGTTTTAGTAACTGAGTCCAAGTACACCTACTAAAATCATTGACTATGGTCACAAAGTAATTTTTTGGGAAAGATTAGGATGATTATATGGTCCCCAAAGATCAACATGAATCATTTCAAAACATGCTGTAGTTTTTATTGAACTGTCTGGAAAAGGTAGTCGTTGCTGTTTTGCTAAAGGGCAAATTCACAGCAATCAACTTCCTGATATTTACAATTGATAATAGAATCTATGTGTTTCATTACAGGAAATGAAGGATGTCCTAATCTATTATGCCATTGAGCAGTCAAAGCAGCCTGATTTACAGCACAAGATTTAGACACTAAAGTAGAATCTATAGTAGCTCTAAGAAACAATCTGGGAAAATGAAGCTGGATTTGTGATCTGATGTGCACAGGATCAAAAGAGTCTTTGGTTAAGGCATAGAGTCCTTTGACAACTATTCCCACTCCAAAGATTTGATCAGTCACTTGGTCCTGTATAATGCACAATTCGGGAAGAAATGAGAAAACATTTTTGGCTGATTGAGCAAGTTTCCTCACTAAAATGAGATTATACTTAAAGGATGGGACATAGAGAGCATTTTCTAGAACAATTCTCTCTGATAAAGGAACGTGTCCTGTTTGTTTAACATATTGAATTGATCCATCAGGTAGTTTAATAGGTGTATCAACTGTAACAGGTTGAGGATCGTGAAACCAAGAAAGGGTGTATATCATGTGGCCAGTTGCTCCACTATCAAAGAAACCTAGATCATGATGTTCAGTATTAGAAGCACTTAAAATGGAATAAGTTGTGCTACCTGCAAAGTCATGAAGGTGCGCAAAATTGACAACAGCTTGGGGATGATCTGTCTGAACTCCTTTTCCTTTAAGCATGGTATTAAAATTCTGTTGCAGCTGACTAATTTGTTTGGCCATAGCATTCCAATCATTTCCAGCAGAGAATTCCAGCTGCAAAGGAGTTTCTGGTTGAACTGCATGAGCAAAATTCCTGTCATTTCCACCAGCATTTCCTTTGTTCTTGAACTCCTTCCACCAATCAGGGAACCCTATCAGCAGAAAACAACCTCCCTTGTCATGGCCTGGTCGATTGCAATGAGTACAAAACAAATCATTCTTCCTTCATCTGTTATTCCATCCTCCATTAGAATTGTTATTTCTTCTTTCTGCCTGGAAAACAGGTTTCCCTAGTAAACCAGCAGCAGGTTCCTGAACATTCAAATGAGCAGTAGAAATTCCTCCTTGGAAGTTTATTGATGGACTGGATTGTATACTTTGACCATAGTTTACTATAGCACTGCTTGAATTTCCTCCACTTTGAAAGACGTTGTTTACAAACTTGCTAGCTATAAAGGCACTGTTATCCGAGTTGTATACTCACTGCCCCTGGTTTTAGTTGTTTTTCTACTTTCAGCAACAAGGCATATGCCTTATTGACGGTTGGTGGAGGATCCATAAGTGGAACCTGATCTTTAATTGCTTCATAAGCCTTGTTAAGTCCCATCAGAAAATCTACAAATTTATCTTCTTCATCTCTGGAGAATCAACTCAAACCGGTCCACACCTAAAGCCAGGTCACGGCCTCTCTGTTCCAAAGCTGCTTTGTTGGCCACCTCTCCTGAAACCAATTCGCCGGTTCGCAATATGAAAACTGGTCCGCCAGTCCAAAACTAAAAACCCGGTTCACTGGGCTCCAGTTCAAATACCGGTTCGCCGGTTAAACTCTAAAAAATCCACTATTCGGTCATTTTGGTCTACAAATGGGCTGTATCGGATTACGGGTTAGTTAGTTAGGCTTGTTGACTGTCGGCAATTTTCTCTGTACTCACTGTTCGGGATTCTCAAATATGCCCACCAATGCGGCAGTCCATGAATGGTGACAGAGAAAATTTCTCTGACAAATACAAGCGTATTACCGGCTAGTCTTTTTCGATATAGTTTACTAGTTTTTAAATTATTGTCATTATATGACATTTCTCATTATACTGGGTAAGTCTTACGCACTGCTCCGAAAATTTTTTCTTTATTAATAAATTTTTAGGTACTTACCTGGTTTGATTAAAAAAAAAATGTTGTGGCACATGATAATGGAAAAATGCGAATGAGATTTTTCTTTTTCTTTTTTTTTTTTTTGGATAACGCATTAGTTTTACTCTTAAATTTCATTCTTCATTTGTTGAGTATTGTACTTCTTCAGTAAGAAAAAAAATTAATAATAAAAAAGTTACACTTTATTGAACGAAATTAACATACTTATAGAGTGAAATTACAAATTAATTTACATTCGCGGGAACCACGTCGATAGAGGAATGATCAAAGTCGACATGAAATATAAAAAACCAGTACCACCTAAATTCATTCGTAATTGGTTATCTATAGTAATCCCGATGTTCGATAGATACCAACATAAGACACAACTCGAGAGCCAACGAACAATGTTGTCCCAGAAAGTCCAAGGAAACTGTTATACTCTTGCACAACATTCACTTGAGCTTCAGAATAGTCCGTACTAAAATTCTTCTTCACAATTATACCACCAAAGGAATTGAACTTATAACCAAACGGATGAACCAGACGAGGTTGCTGTTGAACCAACACGTTGACTGGCACCCAAAATGACCCGAAAGGGGCCCTCTTTATTTTCACAGGAAACCCGGGTAAATTATCTATCATGACTTCGGTTGCTCCTGCTTTTGGCCCTATGAGGTGATACTTGAAGATTTGTTGAGTGGTAAAAGAGCCGTACACTAGAAATGTACTGTCTTCACTTACTGCGGGTCCTGTTGGTCGAGGAAGCTTGTCTAATAATACTGTTAATTGGTTTTTTTCAATGTCATATTTTATTAATCTTCCACTTGAATCTCCTGGTATTGCTGGGAGTCCTAGGAGAGCATCCCTGTAAAGCATATACACAAGATCATTGGAATTCAAAAGGTGCTGAAATTTTTAAAAATTTAAGAAGAGAAATACTTCCTTCGATCCTTCTAGCAAAACATTTTGATTGGTCCTATATTTCACATAGTATAATTTTTCGAATGAAAAAAACCTTAAAAATAGTTCTTAATAATTAGAGAAAGAAATGAATGTGAAATTGTAAATTTTAATAATTTTTTAATAAAATATAAACCGGACAAAATTTAAAACAAATCAAAATACCTTACAATATATACCAGAGAAAGTACATTCAAAAAGTAAATTAAGGCTAAAAAATAAAAAAATGAAAAGTAACGAAATGGAGTGAAGACGTACGTGAAATTGTATACCAAACTGGTGTCGGTGAAGTAAACGACTCTTTTGTTTGAGTCAACGTCGATGCCGTTAAGAAAGTTAAATTTAACGTTATTTACGCCGGAGGCAATTAAATTGGCTTTTCCGCCGCCGGGGCTTACTCTGTAAAAACCACCGTAAGCACCCACGACGTAAAGATTTCCTGTGTTTGAATCGAAACTGAACCCTAACGGCCTTCCACAAATAGGACCCATACTCAAGTTTCTCACCCCTTCGCATAATTCCTTTGTCCTAGAAAAGAAAGATGGATCATGGATGTATTACAAAGGAAAAAAAAATAGTAGTGACAAAAGGCTATCTCCAGAATGTTACAGAAATATTGGAGCAAAATTTGGATAATTCCAAAATTAATATACAAATTAAAAGCACGTACCAGTTTGGGGAAAGGTAAGCAAAATCCACGAACTCTTTACCATTGTATTTGAGAATTCTGCCATCGCTTACACCCACGTAGGGACCTGTATTGGAGGGATCCAAGGAAACTGAATCAGGACCAAAAGGTCCAGGAGGAAGATCGAGTTTGGAAAATCTTGTGTACGGATCTGTTACTTGCAAAGCAAACAACTGAGGAATGAAAAACAGAAGCGTAAAAATGGGCAACATTTTGTAATAATTGAGTTGTATTACTAAACTGGTTAAACAAAATAGACAGAAAGATGGTGGTGAATTATCAAAGGAATTTCTGAAGTACTTATAGGCAGAGTAGAACACAAAACGGGTGGAAATCCCTAATAGTTTTGTAGAAACAAGTTTGCTGGTCTAAGCTGTCAATTAATTAATTAGATATTGTAATTTTTTATGTCGGCACTATATTATCAGTCGCTACCAGCTTGTTTCTAGCGTGGGAGCCATTACTTAAGATTTAGATCCTAATATTTTTATAATTTACTTTGTTAGATTACTCTTTTTATTCCAGAAAAATAGTTTATATTGTAATTTGTGAATTGTAAATTTTTTAAAATAAAACAAAAAATTACAGTACCGTTTTTTTTATGTGTGATAATAATTTAGTAAAATGAAGAATTAAAATGAGATGGAAGAAAATCTGATCTAGTATGTAGTCATACTTTGATACCTAGGTTTTATTTCGATATAAAATTTCCCATGCAAAATTACTAGTCTCATCTAATAAGCAAAGAATTTGACTTTACTTTGTTTAATTTCATACTGCTGAACAAAATATTTTGATAATTACTTGGTCGCCGTTCACAACTTACAAATACATTATCACATTTGTAAGCACCAACCAATCGACAAGGAAAAGCAATCTTTGATTCGACTTTAAAGTTTAAACGTGCGTTCCGAGAGTCCATTCTTTTTTTTTTAAGCTTAACTTAGCCTCGTTTGCGGCGATCAGTTTAATTATGAGAAATTTTACCACTACGGAGACAAATTTCTCACACATAAACTTTTTAATTTTCTATTTTTAATGTCTTAATCAAATTAATTTTACGCAAGCTTTATACAAAAAAGAAAAAAATTTATATAGTGCAACTTTTGGCTAATACCAACTAGTCCCTCCAATCCTAATTATAAAACAGAAATACAAATTAAATTTTAGCATTAATAATTTTTCTTATAATAAAATTTAGAGGGAGTACTATTTAGCCTCAAACTGAATAATATATACCAGCTCACCTTTTGTCTTCTTCGAATCAAATTAGAAAGTCAGAGATCTTTTTTTTTTTTGAAAAAAAAAATGTACATGCAGTATGCGTGTAATAAACAATACACCATTTTCAGATTATCAAATCTCTCGAAACCAGAAACCCACTACCATATCATCAGAAAGTCCTGACAGCAGATACATAATCATAATGGTAATTTATTATTTCCTCTTTTCCATAATTATTGTCTGGTTTAAATTTCCATTTCTAGTTCAAATTGTACTAAAAGTAAAATCAGAAATTAGACAATAATTTTGGGACAGTGGGAGTATTTGTTTTAAGAGAAGGTTAGTCAATGCTCCAAAGGCATAAGCTTGGGCAATGGAATACATGACAAGGCAAATTAATCAAGGTTTACAATCTCGTTTTATGTTTGACTTTTCGCTAGTGATTAAAGGAATTCGAACGCGGCGGCCAAAGGAAGAAATGTGAATTGGCTTTCTTGCGTTTTCTCATTCAGTTAGGGTTTAATATATAAAGTTACAGTTGATAAATGAATTACCGTAAATACAGTAAATACAAGACATTTACTAACCCTAATACAAATATGGTAATGTCGTTCACCCCCCCTCAAGTTGGAGCATGAAGATTCCGAATGCCCAACTTGGGAATAAAAAAATCAAACTGAGACTTGCCCAATGCCTTGGTAAATATATCTGCAAGTTGGACATGTGTGGAAACATAACTAGGGAGAATAGCACCCTTCAAAATCTCATCCCGAATGAAATGACAATCAATCTCAATGTGTTTCATACGCTCATGAAAAACCGGATTAGCAGCGATGTGAAGAGCGGCCTGACTATCACAAAACAGAGAAGCAGGCTGAGGCTGAGAAACACCGAGAGAAAGTAACAGGCCCTTAAGCCATTTCAACTCACATACGACTTCAGCCATAGCACGATACTCAGCTTCAGCAGACGAGCGAGCAACTGTCTGCTGTTTCTTAGTCTTCCAAGAAATGGGAGAGGATCCTAACTGAACAAACCAGCCAGATAGAGAGCGCCGAGTCAGAGGACAACTGGCCAATCAGAGTCGCACCAACCAGAAAGCTGTAAATCGCAATCAGCACGAAGAAGAATACCCTGACCAGGAGAACCCTTGAGATAGCGAACAACACGTAACGCCGCTTCCCAATGAGCCTGCATGGGTTTCTGCATATATTGGGCTAGAGTATGAACAACATATGACAACTCGGGACGAGTAATAGCCAGATAAATCAAACGGCCGACCAAACGGTGATAGCGTTCAGGATCAGAGAAGGGCTCGGTAGTGACAAGAGAAAGCTGATGATTGGGCTCCAAAGGAAAACTAGCGGGCTTAGCACCCAACAGACCAGTCTCAAGAAATGATATCCAGGGCATATTTGCGTTGGCAAAGAAAAATGCCAGTCGAGTTGCGAGCAACTTCAATCCCTAAAAAATACTTCAAAATGCCCAGATCCTTCATATGAAAACAGTGACTCAAATAATCTTTGAAAGTCTGAATGGCATTATGATCATTGCCCGAAATGATAAGATCGTCAACGTAAATCAACACATTGAGCTGCAAATGATCACGATGTAAGGTAAAAAGCGAGTAATCAGAGTAAGACTGCTTAAAACCATACCGACGCAAAGCCGTAGCCAACTTGGCGAACCAACAACGAGGTGCCTGACGAAGTCCATAAAGAGACCGCCGAAGTCGACAAACAGTCCCCGGATGAGACGAAGAGAAACCAGGAGGCAACTTCATATTGACTTCCTCGTCAAGATCACCATGCAGAAAAGCGTTGCGAACATCCATCTGATGAAGTTCCCAGCCTTTAGTAGCAGCAACAGTGAGCAAGGTCCGCACAGTAACCATTTTGGCAACAGGAGCGAACGTCTCAGTATAATCCAGACCCTCAATCTGGTTATTACCCAAAATGACAAGACGTGCTTTAAAACGCTCAACTGAACCATCAGACCGATGCTTAATTTTAAACACCCATTTGCAGCCTATAGCCCGCTTGCCAGAAGGAAGAGACTCAAGCGTCCAAGTGCCGTTTTGTTCTAAAGCTTGAATCTCTTGCTGCATGGCGGCACACCACCGATCATCTTTGACAGCCTCCGAGAAAGTGCGAGGTTCAGTATCTGCAATAAGACTGGCCAAAAACGCCCGATGTGGAGCAGAAAAGGAATCACAAGATACATAACGATTCAAAGGATAGGACGTACATGAGGAGACTGACGAAATAGATGAGCTGAGAGAAGGGTCGGAAGAAGTGATAGTATGGGACAGAAAATCAGTGAGACGGGTGGAGCGAAACTTGGCCCGATGCCCACGACCCAGAAGTTCTACCTGTTGTGGAGGAGGGGACTGCCCCCCCTGACCTGAAGAAGGATCAATGGAAGGACTAGAGAAAGGAGCTGATTCTGAAGCAGCAGGCGAAGAACTAGGAACAGCAGCGGAAGGAAAAGAGACCACCCGTGACTCAAACTCATCGTCTTCCAAAACAATAGGAAGAACGGAAGAGGAAGGAACAACGGGAGAAGAGGAAGACTGATAGGGAAATTCAGACTCAGAGAAAACGACATCCCGGGAAACAAAAATCGTACCAGAATCTAAATCATAGAGCCGCCAACCCTTCTTACCAAAAGGATACCCCAAAAAAACACACTTGCGACTGCGGCTAGAAAACTTATCACCCTTACGATCCTGGTTATGCGCATAGCACAAACAACCGAAAACACGCAAATGAGACACAGAAGGGGGTTTGCCATAAAGAATTTCACAGGGGGTTTTCCCATGCAAAATGCGGGATGGGATACGATTAATCAAATATCCGGCTGTCAAAACACACTCCCCCCAAAACTCAATAGGTAAGTTGGCCTGGAACCGCAAAGCGCGAGCAACATTGAGAATGTGTCGGTGCTTGCGTTCGACACGACCATTTTGTTGAGGAGTACCAACACAAGTGGTTTCATGAATAATGCCATGTTGGCGGAAATAATCAGTCAAGCATAAAAACTCGGTGCCATTATCACTACGAACGATTTTCACAAGTTTGTTAAAATGACGTTCAACCATGGCGAAAAATTGGAATAAAGTAGAGGAAACCTCTTTCTTATCATGCAACAAATAAAGCCAAGTAGCGCGAGAATAGTCATCAACAATAGTCAAGAAACAGCGAGCTCCAGAAAAACTAGGTACCTGATACGGGCCCCACAAATCACAATGGATCAAATGAAAAATATCAGAACTAGTTGTAGAACTAAGAGGAAAGCTAGTCCGAGACTGTTTGGCACGAAAACATACATCACAAGCTTTATTACTACCCACTTTTGGACCAACAAATGGAAAGGATTCTAAGACCTGAGGAGAAGGATGACCGAGACGTTGGTGCCATAGATCAAAAGAAGAAACACCAGCAGGTGTAACTTGAGCAGCAATCTCCACGGCCCGGAAGAAATATAACCCTTCTTGTTGCTCACCCGCTCCAATCAGCGTCCTCAAAGCGATGTCCTGTATAATACAAAAATCACGAGTGAAATGAGCAACATATCCGGAATCCCGTAACAGCTGTGAAACAGAAATCAAATGACACAACAAAGTGGGAACATAAAGCACATTAAGCAGCATGATAGTGCTGCTGAGAATAACAGTGCCAGCCTGAGTGGCCCAAGTGTGTTGGCCATTAGGCAAACGGACCGAGACAGCAGGAATAGCACGAACATCCGTAAAAAATTCCAAACGACTAGTCATATGTCTAGTTGCACTGGAATCATACATCCACAATGTAGACCAAGACATACCAGAAAGCGTGTCTGTCAAAACAGGCTTAGACGACTGCAAAAGTTGGAGTAAGGTCTGCCACTGATCATTATTCAAACCGGTGACCGCATTTGCGAAAGCCGAAACACCAGAACCCGGAGCAAAAGAAACATTGCCAACACCCGAAGTAGAGCGACCACGCCCGCGGCCACGTCCACGCGCGCGCCCAGGAGACCCACGCGACCAG